GGTAAATCAAACAGTTTCAGTCCGGTAGATGCGACTACTCTGGACCTTCTACGTAGCCTCGGAATACTACGCCGGCTACATCCAGCGGCCTGTGAAGCAGCGGAGCCTCGTACCAGCGGTGTCCGCCAGCGGAGGAGACGGAAGCGGTGTGACCGGAAGCAAAAACGGGGATGCCGAGCGGGGCTAACAACCAAGCTAAAAGCTAACCCGCACAGAACGCCGCTTCCTTCCATCCTGCTTTCTAATGTCCGCTCCCTGGAGAACAAACTGGACTACCTGAAGCTGGATTTAACTGCAAAACGGGAGATGAGAGACTGCTGCGCCATATTTCTCACAGAAACGTGTCTGAAACCATCCGTTCCAGATGAGGCAGTTAGCATAGAGGGGCTAACATTATTTCGGTCGGATAGGAGCAGCTCTCTCACTGGTAAATCCCGAGGCGGCGGTGTTTGCATATACACCAACAACAACTGGTGCATCAACGGTGAGATAGTCTCAAGTCACTGCTCTCCTGATGTAGAACTACTGACTATAAAATGCAGGCCTTTTTATTTCACTGTTATGATCTTCACAGCAGTGTACATTCCTCCCAGTGCAAACACCAGAGAAGCCCTGAATGTTTTATACCGCTCCATCAGTGAACTGCAATCTACACATCCAGAGGGAGTTTTCATTGTTGCAGGGGACTTCAATCAGGCCAATATGAAAACTGTTTTCTCTCATTTCCATCAATATGTGGATTTTGCAACCAGGGGTGGGAGCACGCTGGACCTGGCCTACAGCAACATCAAGAAGGCATTCAAGGCTGCACCCCGCCCCCACCTTGGCTCCTCAGACCATCTCTCTGTGATGCTAATTCCAGCATACAAGCCCCTGCTGATCAGGAAAAAACCCACAGTGAAGCAGGTGAGGGCCTGGCCTGAGGGAGCTATGGAAGCATTACAGGACTGCTTTGAATGCACGGACTGGGACATGTTCAAGGCGGCTGCTACGGACAATCACCAGACATGTGTGGAGGAGTATGCCGAGTCTGTGTCTGCATACATTCAGAAGTGCATGGAGGATGTTAGTGTGATCAAGAACATCTCCACACGGGCCAACGAGAAACCCTGGATGACTAGTGAGGTATGTGCAATGCTGAAAGCCCGGAACGACGCTTTTAAATCTGGCGACATGGTGGCACTAAAAACAGCCAGAGTCAACCTGAACCGTGCCATAAAGGTTGCAAAGCATGCTCACAGTCAGAAAGTGCAGGACTTCTTCGAGGACCCCACGAACACCAGACGAATGTGGCAGGGCATCCAAGTCATCACAGACTATAAAGCTACTCCTCCCCCTTGTGACAACAACATCAACTTTCTCAACGACCTCAACAACTACTTTGCAAGGTTTGAGGCACTCAACACCACTCCAGCGAAGAAATCTATTCCTCACTCCGATGAGCAGCCAATCAGCCTGGACGCAGCTGATGTCTGGAGAACCCTGAGGAGAGTGAACACCTGGAAAGCAGCGGGCCCTGACGACATACCGGGACGGATGCTTAAGGAATGTGCTGACCAGCTGACTGGGGTTCTCACAGACATCTTCAACACCTCGCTGATCCAGGCTGTGGTACCTTCATGTTTAAAGACTGTTACAATTATACCAGTGCCTAAAAAATCCACAATCTCCTCGCTCAATGATTACCACCCTGTAGCACTAACCCCCATCATGATGAAGTGCTTTGAGAGGCTGGTAAAGGACCACATTGTCTCCAGACTTCCCCCAAACAGTACCAGTTTGCTTACCGCCCAAACCGCTCCACAGAGGATGCCATCTCCTCTGCACTCCACCTGGGCTTACAACATCTGGAAGAGAAGGACACACATGTGCAGATGTTGTTTCTGGACTTCAGCTCAGCGTTCAATACAATCATCCCGCAGCATCTGGTGAGCAAACTGTCCCCCCTTGGTTTCAGCACCCCCCTATGTAACTGGCTGCTTGACTTCCTCACAAACAGACCCCAGTCTGTGCGGGTGGGCAACAACACCTCCAGTGTCATCTACCTGAGCACCGGTTCCCCTCAGGGCTGCGTCCTGAGTCCGCTGCTGTTCACCCTGATGACCCATGACTGCTGCGCCAGGTCCACTACTAATCACATCGTGAAGTTTGCAGACGACACAACAGTAGTGGGCCTCATCCGTGACAACAACGACATGGACTACAGAGAGGAGGTGAAACTGGTTGACTGGTGCAGAACCAACAACCTGACCCTGAACGTCGATAAAACCAAAGAGATCATCGTCGACTTCAGGAGGCGCCAGCCCAGCCACACACCACTCCTCATCAATGGCACAGCAGTGGAGAGAGTTAGCAGCACAAAGTTCCTGGGGGTGCAGATAACAGACACTCTGACCTGGTCCCTTCACACCGGCACTCTTGTGAAAAAAGCGCAGCAGCGCATGCACTTTCTGCGTCGGATGAAGAGAGCACACCTCCCTCCTCCTATTCTCACCACCTTTTACAGAGGCACTATAGAGAGCATCATAACAAACTGCATCTCTGCCTGCAGTGCCTCCGACTGGAAGTCCCTGCAGAGAGTGGTGAGGACGGCGGAAAAGATCATTAAGACTCCACTTCCTCCCATCCAGGAGATCGCAAAGATCCGCTGTCTGACCAGGGCTCAGAAAATCAGCAGAGACACCTCCCACCCCCAACAAGGACTGTTTTCGCTGCTGGACTCTGGAAAGAGGTTCCGCAGCCTCCGAAGCAGAACTTCCAGGTTCTGTAACAGCTTCTTCCCACAGGCCATAAGACTTTTGAACAGGAAAAAATAATCCCTTCATTCCCCCTCAAACCCCCACACAGGACTACCTCACTGGACTGTAAAACACAATATAACGTGCAATATATTTATCTGTATAGTATTTTTACTCATAGTTTTTCTTTTTATATCACCTTATTTTTATTTTCTATATGTAAATACATGCTGCTATTTTTATCCTGCACTACAACGAGCCAAATGCAACGAAATTTCGTTCTTATCTGCACTGTAAAGTACAAGTTTGAATGACAATAAAGAAAGTCTAAGTCTAAATCTAATAGATGTTGAGTGCACTTCTGCCATTAGCAATGAAGCCATATATAACAGTCTTCTTTTTTTGTTGTGTGAAGAGGCACCATCTTGTCAGACAGCTGGACCTTCAACCCACAGAACAGTTTCTGCCTGCTGTTGACTGATGTTCTCAGTCCGATCTTCAGTTGATGGCTTCATCGTCGCTTTGAAACCTTTTCCAAGGGGATTTCAGATATTGAGCACATCAAAAGCTGCATCTACAGTGTGCACAAAGTGTGCGGTAGCAGCGCAACCCTTGAACTCCTCCAACTTTAACCCTTGAACTCCTCCAACTTCAACCCTTGAACTCCTCCAACTTCAACCCTTGCTCACAGAACTCCATAGCATCTGCCACACTGCTGCTAAAGAGCTGTGCTACCAGATGGACTTTCATTTTTTGTTTTCTCCACTGTATGTGAGCCATCCTTAGCTTGCTGCCAAGTCGAAGACCTTCTTTCTCTTGGAGATTGTTTATTGTTTCAAAATATTTCAACTTTATCTTTCTTCCGTCTTTACTCTCAAATTCCAGTGAAGTCGCAAAAGCATTACGAAGAAGCTTCAGCATGTGGCATGCATCCAGGAGTACATTTACTTTTTGTGTGGGATTCTCTGGATGAAAAAAGCAGGGCTTCATGTTGTTGATATTTAGGTCATCTCCAAGTTCCCTTATCATGGCCAAGTTGCCTGATGGGTCATCACAAGTGAAACAACTTGAATTCCAACCTCATGAAGCCTGCTTAGGCTCTCCCTTATAATGTTTGCCTTCTCTGATCCATCCACACCTGTGATAAGAAAGTATGCGATGGGAATTTTCCATGACTCATTTACAGCTACAACCATGAGGACCAAGGCTTGGGTGGCTAATGTGTTGTCAATTTCACCAGTGCCTATGTCGACATAGCCATGAAATTGATCCCCTAAAAATTCAGTCACGTTGTGGATGTACATTTCATTCATCCTGAGAGCACAGATTGTTTCTTTTCTCTTATGTTTGCCTGTACATGACCTTTTAGCGCTGTAAAAGATGCTATAGTAAATCCTGGATCAGCTGTGCGGATGGTGTGACTGTGTGGTAAAGCTTTATTAAAGTTGTCACGCACATACTCATATGCCTTTGGAGAGTAAAAGTGCAGTGTGGTGGCAAACTGCTTCAGCTCCTCTGAGTACTTGACTACTTGAGTATCCTGACTTTTTGCCCTGTTGGATCTTCTGCAAAATGTGTTTTGGTACTTCATCAACTGACTCGAGCAAAGATGCACATTGACTTGATATCAATAGCTTCTTTAGTTGATTGATGACTTGTTTTAAGGTGCAGATTTTTTTCTTTTAACGCCTGGACCTCTCAGCTTCTTCCTGTATTTTTTTAGGGTCTCTTCAGTGGCCTGATTTCTCTGTTTCAGAGATCTCGGAGACTTCAGGTTGTAGCAGTGATCCTCTTGAATGCCAAGTTTTGCTTGTGTTGATGTTGTTGCTTGATAACTATGATCTTCTATATTTCTATCCACTGTTACAGCAGTGTCAGCCTGACAGATGTCAATGCTAAGAGGGAAATTTACATTTGCATTGTTAGTCAAGATGGCATTGCTGTAATCGGCAGCAGAAGTCAAGCTGATGTAGCATTGGTCAACTGTTAAATCCTCTTTATTGTCACCAGAAACCCTGCGATTTGAAAATGATGGGGGATTTACCTTGGTGTCACAACTATCCAAAATCCTGTGTTTAGCACCAGTCAGACGGGACCTCAAATGATGACTTGGAAACAGAGTAGGGACAGCTGTGGTTTTTAGTTAACGACTTCCCCACAGACAGAAGGATAAATCATTTAAATCACATTCATCTATCCACAAACATGATGCTGACAGCAATGAAAATACAAGTCACTTGTTTATGTAATTAATTATCTAACCTTTGAGTCCATGGTGAAGGCATGCTCTTCAAAATGAACACTGCAAAGACGAGATGATGGTGTAGGTCTCCAGTCCTTCCGTCTCATGTTCACCACCCACTGCTCCAGTCTGCCTGTGTCACCACCACCTAAAGGAAAACTGTGCAAAAATATAATAATAGAGCTTCATATTATTTAGCAAATGATGTACTGTGTGCAATGCAAAGTATGAATCATTTTGTCAGCCATATTTCCTTAACAGTAATTTAGACAGCTTGGTTACATAAGGGGTTTAAATGAAAACTATTGTGTTGATTATTGTCTAACTCTGTGTTTTGTGTATGTATGTATAGCCTTTATCCTTAGCCTTAGGTCCTTATGATGCCGATTACACAATATAAACTTTCTGCCACCTCAGACCATATAAACATACTGTATACAAAACTATTACAGAAATATCATTGTCCCATAAACTTCACACATGAAAATGTATGGATATTTTTGAATGATCTAAAACAAAGTCAAGAGTGACTGAGATCTCTTGCTGATTGAATTTGCCATACCTCTAAAAGCGAAAGGCTTTTGAACCATAGACTCAATAAGTCGGTTGACCCTTCTACTAACTCTGCCTACCCGTGTCCTGACTACCTGATCTGTAGCTACAGGTGGGTGTTCTTGTGAGCCTATATCCTGAACAATGTCTGCCATGAGCACCTGAATGTCAGTGAAAGGTACTTTGTCTGCTTGAAATGACATAGTCTCTGTGTCGCCACCAACATTTATTAAATGGGACTGGGTTTCTGTGTTGGGTTCTACAGCTAAACTGTCAATGTCCCTGTCTCTGTCAAAGTTGTTATTTCCACTGGGAGAACAATGATCCAGATCATCTGCAGACAGCACCTCACAGTCGAACTCTGTAACAACCTGGCTGGTGTGATCCAGACCTGACTGTTCATCCTGACTCACACTGTCTGCTGCTTCACTTATTACCCATGCACTTGTGCTCCCCTGAGTTCTCCTCCTCCAAAGAGTCCAGTGAGTTTGTCGCACCTGACCAATCCTCTGACTCATTGTCACACAGCTCATTTTCAGCAACAGCAACCACAGGCAAGAAACTGATGTCCAGGACCAAGTTGCGATACACAACTTTGCAGTTGCCTTTATCGTCCTCCAACTTGTACATGTGAGTATGCGGATTTCTGTCCTTGACTGTGTACACTTTTGCGTCCCATTTATCAGCCAACTTTTTCTTTCCTCTTTCACCTTTGTTTTTCTTTCACCTCTTTAACCCTATCTCCTATGTTCAGGTGAGTGCCTTTCCCTTTCTTTTTTGTGCTGCAGTGAGAGCAAAGAGTGGCTTGGCTATGGAAGAGCAATTCGGTATGAAGTGTTGGTAGTAGAATACCATTCCAAGAAAATATTTGATCCTCTTCACTGACAGTGTGCAGCCATCATTTTCCATCAGGTCAGCCTTTGACATCTTTGTTATGACCTCAATCTTTGCCGGATCCACAGCCACTCCATTTCCATCTATGATATGACCAAGAAATTTGACTGAAGATTGCACCAAATCCATTGTAATGAAGTAGGTGTTTCCACCCAGAGCAGCAAGGCAGTCTGACTGATGTGGCAGAGGGTGTGGATCCTTCAGGGTCCTAGCGTTCAACCATCTAAAGTCAGTGCAGAGTCTTAGACTGCCATCCTTCTTCCACACTAACACAAGTGGGGAGGCATACTCACTCACTGACTTCCTTAATATTTCCTGCTCTTCCATCTCAGACAGGACTTGCTGCAGTTTCTGATCGTGGGCTGGTGGCACCCGGCGGTAAGGAAGGCGGAATGGTCTCTCATCAGTCAGTCGGATGCGATGCATGAAGCCTTTTGCCTCTCCACAGTCCAGTGCATGTTTTGAGAAAATGTCATTGTACTTTTCAAGCAGTCCGACCAACTTCTCTTTACCGTCCTGACCAGCGTGGCACAGGTCGATATCAACATTGCTGAGGCCAACTTGTTTGAGCCGCTGGGTGAGATTGGAAGGCTTGGTATCATCACATTCGTCCTCTGTTCCTGCTTTTCCTGTTTGGTTAGTGTCCTGGAAAACTTCAAAATCCTCCACCGCTAGAGACACATCTGTTAGTTTACTGTTACTCTTCAGAGTGATAGACTTGTTAGACAGGTTAGTGACTTTCATGGGAACCCATCTATCTCCCCAGAGTGGTGTCACAACACGGCCAACCATGATGTTGCGTGGCATGGACTTGGAGGAGGTAGCTCAACTATCACTGTGCTTCCTGGTGACATGGGGACGTTACCTGGTAACTTACCCCATACAAGATGTTCTTGTCTCGCCAGCAGGGTAACTGATTGTTGGAGCTTGACTGTGCCAATCTTTTCTGTAATCTCCTCCCCTCGCCACCTGGAGGAGTTTGGCATGAGGTCAAGAAACTGCTCACACTCAGGGAGAAGACTGCCACTGGAGACAAGACGCCAAGAGTCACTAGTTATCTTCAGTTGGTGCATGAGAAATCTGATAACATTGGTTAAATGTTAAATGATTAAATCGTCACGTTGACCTGGCACAACAAGGATTGGAACAACACAGGTTTCTCCATACAATTTCATCTCCACTTCATGATCACTTGGGCTTGCCAAGTGATCAGCCACAGCCCACTAGTACGATTTCTTGAGTCAAGGGGATGGATTCTGTGAGAACATTTTCACTCAACATCTTCTGTTCTGCCTTCTCACTTAATGTGCAGGCCATGGAACCAGAGTCAAGCATCCCCTGAATTTGAGATTTGTTGTTGATGCTGACGGGCGTGTAGAACAGTTCATCAAATGGACCGACTCTCTGTGTATTCTGAGCTATGATTTTAGCACCAGTTGGCACAGCGGCGCATGCTTTTATGTAGTGTTCTTCAATATTGTTACAGCCGAGGGTTTCTTCATTAGTGCCCACACATTCCCTCTCCCAATGCGGACCAGTTAGTTTAAAGGCTGCGAGTTCAATGATTGGGGGGAATGCTGACTTTGAGAAGGCAGGCGATGAGGGCAGTTTCTCTTGATATGATTTGGCTCAAAGCACGACAGACACAGGCGTTTCTGCCTGCAGTGTGCAGGGGTGGAGTGTCCGGTAGACTGACAGACTCTACAGGTCCTCTGGTGGGTTTAGGAAGGAGGAAACTGCCTGTCTGTGGCCTGACTGTTCTGAGATAATGCATGATCAAAAAGACTTATCAGTGTTTTCAAGCAATTGTCATCACATGAAGGTCTGACTACTGGGTTATTCTCAACCTGTACAGGGGACTCTCTGGATTGACATGTTGTTGGCTCATCAAGTGCAGGGGTCTGAACATGAACTGTAACAGGTTTAGAGCATTTTGATTTTAAAAGCACCTGTTCTCTTGTTTCAAGTCGATAATGATCAATGTGTTCTTGAATATCACTAGCCGTCCACTTATCTGGTGCTTTGAACTTAAAGACTGCAGCGAGTGTGGGATCTGGGCAGTGTTTAACAAACATCATTGCAGCTTCTTGACATGGGTCCTCTATGTGTCGTCCTAGCCTTTTCAAGCCCTCCTCTGCTGCATCAACTGCCTTATTCAGGCGAACTCAGTACTGAAAAGGAGTTTCTTTGGCCATGGGAATCGTGTTGTAGAAGTCGGGAATACATGAATAACTCACCTCGCCAAAATGTTGTTTGAGAATGTTGTAGATGGCTTCTGGATTCTCCTGGGGCTTTAGTGAATGGCTGCTTCTCAGAGTTATTCTAACAATGTCTTTAGCTTTACCCATCAACTTCGACATTATCTCAGAATACTGTTCTTCGAGAGGTGTGGCTCGTTTCTTGAAGTAGGTTTTCATCAACTCTTCCCACTCACACACTGTGTATTTGCCTGGACCATCTCCTCTGAAGATCGGCGGCTCTTTGACATCTGACTGTAGGACTAACTTGGCACCTGTCAGGTTGAGGTAACTGGAGTCACTGAGTAACTGGCCTTCACTACTCTGAGCTTGTGCGCCGCCACTACTCTATTCTCTACATTCCTCCTTTAACTGATCCCTTATAGTTTGTCCTACCTGCTGAGCAATGTGCGTTATCAAGTCATTCAATTCTGAGTCAGTTGCAGCTGAAGTGTCTGAAAGTGAGTTACCTTGCTGGAGACTAGCTGCTGTGCGGTTAAGTATGCGAGTTGAACAGAAAGCAGGAGAGCCTAACTGGTGTAACAGGTAATCTACCTATTCCAAAACCAGTAAAACTGTTAACTGGAACTTTGTCATCATCCATTTTGTCAAAAATGTAATTTTCAAAGCACAATATGAAACTTAAATATGCACAAAAATATATCTACTGAGTCATTAGATTCCCTTTAAAGCAGAAATTGTGCAACGAAAACAATATTATATTACTAATTTTCTTTTCTTTGTAACAGTATGTGCACTGAACATAAACATGTGTAAAGCAGCAACCTCTGGTGACCAAGCTGATGTTGATCCAAAGCTCCAGGAACCACGAGGAAGACGAACAAATCTGAAGCGGCGTGGATCCGGGTCACGGCACCACTGTAGCCGGTCTGTCTTGACACTCAGTGTCCTATGAATATGTCTCTGCGTTGTGTACGATGAAACGAAGACCAAAAACTTCCTTGCCAACTGGATCAGATTTATTTTCATATCATCTGTGTAAAATAAAATACATTCAGTAAAGCAACTTCATACGACTGGGCTTCAACATGCACACCTTTCCTCAGCGGGGTCTCAGGCCGTCTCACACAATGCATACAGGTGTGCTGTGACATTCTTTTAAAAACGAGAACAAAAACTTAATAAAAAGTACAAATTGTATTTCAGCTTATTTCTTACTCAACAATAATGTATGTTTTTGTCGAAACCGAAAATGTACTTAAACAGCTAAGCTAATCTTATACTGTACACTTCATGTTATATTAAAATAACAAAATAATTTGTGATCAAATATATCTGTAAGCAACAAGAACGAAGAGAGAGCTCACATACCTGTGTAAAATAAAATACATTCAGTACAGCAACTTCATACGACTGGGCTTCAACATGCACACCTTTAAAGGGGAGAAGAAAATACAGCGGACCACAAGAGAAACCACACGGATGCTCTATCTTAAAGTTAGCCTAATTAGCATATACAAACTAAGTGCTGTACGACAAATAAAACTCTTCAAATACATACAGACCAAACCAACAGTTAACATAACTTAAAACGTCAGTGAGCCTAACGAAGTATAGTTGAACCACTATTTATCATGTTTTTCCCATGTTTTAACACTTTATAAACTGGAGCACATTTAAACACTCACCTCTCCTCAGCGGGGTCTCAGGCCGTCTGAGAGAACCGCGAATCTACAGGATGTGACATCATCACAGCAGACTCCAAAATAAAACACAAAAAGTAAATATAAAAATATTCATATTTGAAAAAGATATGACAAAATGTAAATATGACTTAAAGGACAGACTTTTGGTGAATTATAAAAAAAATTGACAAAGTATTTTAAAGCACCTGTTACACCAACATAAAATCATGCATTCCTGTAAACTGAGATTTAATTTTTTGAGTACAGGCTTTCAACTTGTAATTTTTGTATTTGTACACCAGATGGTGCCACTTTTCCTGTATGTGTGTGTGTGTGTGTGTGAAAAAATGTAACATGCTCCTTAACATGGAAGTATTAGTTTATGTAATGCTTTCGTTTGCATTTAAGGTGTCAGAGCCCATTGAACTCGTGGGAATGGACCTTGTCGGTCCATTGAAGCGCTCCAACAGCAGATATGTATACATTTGCGTCATGGTGGACTAGTTCACCAAATAGATGGAAGTCTATCCTCTCATGAGTAAGAGGGCTGAGGAAGTGACAGTGTGCACCAAAACGGATCCTGACTGATCGGGGAAAATAATTTGTCAGTAGAATAGTGAGACATGTAATAACTGTTTCATTACACTGCAACAACAAAAAATTACATCAAAACTGTGTTCTTCTTTTTAATATCCAATGCATATTCTAGACTAACAGGAGTTGTGTGAAAAGCTTGGCATTGCCAGAAGCCTCTGTGCACCATACCACCCCCAAACAAATGGCTTGGTTGAAAAACTTAATGGCATGATTCATGATTCATCTATTTATTTGCTATTATGTGTACTTGTGTTTATTTATCTAAAACTATGTTACAGATAAGTGATGAAAAAGTCAACTATCTGATTGAAAATGAGGATGTATGCAACCACACTTCCAACCTTCAAGATGTGTACACTCAAGTGGAGGCCAATATTACAGCAGCACAAGCAAGGGTGCGGAAAAGGAAATTATCAAAGGGCGAAGATGATAGCTTTGTGGTGGGGGACAAAGTATTACAAAAAATATCTGCCAAGAACAAAGAAAGGGGGGGAAATTAGAAACTGATATCTTTGGTCCCTTCACAATCATACACATTGATGGGAAAAGTGCTGATCTAAATTCAACAAAAGGAAAAACCATCTCAAAAATCAACATTGACCATCTCAAAAAATATGTGGAACCAGAGCCACGAATCCCAGAAAAATGGCTTGCCACTATTTCATCTGCCCCTTTAGCACTGGAATCCAGCCCCTTGAGAAGTCCTAGCATTCCCCAATGCCCAACTTGCACACAATCGAGTCCACAATCAGACACCCTGCCCTCCATTCTACAGTCATGTGGCATAACTGGCTTTGAACAGTCAACTTCAGTCACCCCAGAGGAGTGTAAGTAGATATCAATACCATTTTATTTCAGCAGTAACATCCTACATATGCACTCAGTAGGCTTTCTTAGAAATTGATGCTACATTAAATGACAAATGAGGCCTCTGTAAATAACTGTCTTCTAATTCTCAGTAATAGCTGAAATCTTGTCCGGTAAAAGGCAAGGTGTACTGTGGAGCAAAGACGGTCCATACAAGTTATTTGCCACAGAACCTGCAACATCTAGCCCCGGGAAGGCAGCTAGAGAGTGAGGTAAATTCATGCATGAAATATTTACAGTTTGATCCTTATATATTTTTGAAGGCAAGAATATAACCACATATTTGTCTCTAGGTTTTAAATGCATTCATTCATGCCACCATTGGGAAGGTACAAGAGGAAACTGGGAGAAAGTTTTATCTAATTGACACCTTTCATATGACTGCAATGTGGCAAGGATCATTCAGGGGATTAAACAAGGTGATTATGTTCATAATATCTTCATACATTTTAACAATACATTCAATTATTCATTCATTCATTATGCATGTTTCTTTTCAGCTTGACCCAATGGCCTACGATGTTCTCGTAGGACCAGTCTGTGACAAAGGGCACTGAACACTTGTGGTGAGCATTTAAATACACTACCATAGAGTATTTATAGAACCATGAGAGTCCAGACTTGTGTGTGGTACTCTAGCATGATAATTAAATGTGATCATTCATCCGATTTACATGACTTCACATGTATTGTGAAGGTCATTTATCCAAAGGAGAAGCGGGCACTTACTGAAAAAGGTTTCTTAAGAGTGATTAGTACAGTTGACTCAAATAGCATGCAGCAGACAGGGCCTGCAGACATTACAACAATTCAAAAAGAAATGTCCCTCTCTGATGTTTGAGGACCCCATAACCCTGGACCATGTGGTCCAGGGTTATGGGGTCCTCAACATCGAGGGAAGCGAGGCAATCATTGACCTTTTGACCTTTTTTCGTAGTTAAATTACAAACTTTTTTTGTAAGATTTATTTTGTGGCTTTTTGAACCTTTATTGGAGAGACAGGACAGAGGTTAGAAATGGAAATTAGGAAAAGAGAGCGTTAGAAATGACATGCTGAGAAGGAGCCAGTAATCTTTAAATTATTTCCCACATCTTTGTTAACGGTCACTTTGTAATTTTTTGGTTTGTTAACAATCTGATTATGCCAAAAATGTGTGGCATATTTTTAAACGATGCAAAGTGAAAAACACAGTTTTGGGATGTGGAAATACACACATTCACAGGAAACTGCAAAATAAAGGCAGCAAGTCAAGACATTTAATGGAAAGTTCTCAAGGTGGCTCAGAGGAACAGTTTCTTATTGGCAGGAGAGTAAAGGAGACAAAACAGTGAATTCATAATCAGACAACATAACTATTAACACTGCTGGAGTGGAGTGTCTTTGAGGAGCATGCCTCCTGGTCTACTGTTTAAAAACACAACTGAACTGATAAATGCTTTCTGATGGACTGACAGTCAGCAGGGCGAACATGTTGAGATGAAACGCCTCACAAAACACAATCTGCTATTCATCCATTTCCAGGTTAGGCTTTACCTCATTGATTTTCCTTGGATTTGCTGAGTTGGATAACTAAGTAGGGTTACACCAAGTTATGCCAAGCTGCAGTGGAATCTGTCCATTTTGATATTTTATGGCCAAGGCTTCTAAATAAAGCATGGTGGGAAACACTGGTTCAAAGAATTGTGAAAGGTTTTTTAAGATGTCCAGTTTCTCTACAGGGTCCTAACAACAAAATCAAGTCAAAGCTTTAGACAGTAAGACTGATGCAATTATTACTTGTTCATTCAGCAGTATTATTATTTATCTAAAGCATTGCACAAGCGGACCAACAATTTTGGTCATTTAAAGCGGACTTCACAAAAAGAACAGGTTTCAAAATAGATGTAAAATATTTGACACAAGACAATTACTGTCATGGCTGCACAATGTCTCAACAAAGAATATGTTTTGTGAATGTTTTACTTTTTTTGACATTACATCCTGAGTTTGATACTAAGGTACATAATAACATGAATGATGTAAAACAAATATTTAGTTTCAATAAATGAACCTCGGTTTATTTGCATCGAGAAATGTCCAGAACTGATCAAACCTGTCTGTAGTTCCAGGCACTGAAATGCCTTCAGATAGCTGCCAAATGGGCTCTCACATTCTCTATCTAGATATTGTTTTGTTCTCTATTGTTTTAACTTTGAATGAATGTTGCTTCTACAACCTCGACCCACAAGAGGAAGCAGCTGCACTTTAATGACCGGTATGAATAGAGTTTGTGTTTGCTCTGATTTATTCAATTATAGCTTTAAGTTATTCATTATTTTTAAAGACTTTTTTTTGTTAATGTATGCTATTCTTTTTGTGTTTGTTTATTCATAAATAATCTATCACAGGCAACAGGTCATCATTTTTTAAGAAACGCTTCAAGCTAAAGTTAGCTTGATTGTAATGCATTTTAAATCTCTTTGCCCCCACCTCCAGTCAAGTGTGTGTGTCTGCAGCCTACAGTTCATGTCGGATACTGTAAGCCACGCCCTCATGTACATGTGAAACACGTGGTCCCGCCTCCTCCTGCAAGCTTCGATATTGTTGATGGGCGTTGATTTCCGGTATTTTACGTCTGGATTTTCAGGTTCCACCGAGTGCGGGTAACACGCGTGTGTGTTGTTTTGTGAGTGCATGTGTGTGTGTGTGTGTGTGTGTGTGTGTGTGTGTGTGTGTGTGTGTGTGTGTGTGTGTGTGTGTGTGTGTGTGTGTGTGTGTGTGTGTGTGTGTGTGTGTGAGAGAGGGAGTTTGCAGCGTGGTTGTTGTAGCCGTTCCCAGCGTGGATACTGTCACCGCCTTGCACCGCAGGCAGGCACCGTGTTCCTACATGCCAGTTACCGTCGGGGCTCCACAATCTCTGGCCAGCAATGACCGAAATCCCCGCAACCAAACCGGCCAACGGGGATGTATGTCAGCGCGTAAAGAACGGAGTGAAACCGGAGAGGAACGGGTTGTTGAAGAGCCTCCAGAGCTGCCATGAGAGGACACCCAGACACCACTGCCAGCCCGAGGAGGAGAAGGTGAGGGCCAGGGTGGGACGGGAGGAGAGGGGGAAGTGTTAGGAGCATCGTTTGTTGTCCTAATGTTGATAAAGTCCTGCCTTATTGTAAATGACAGGTGTATTGTTGACTCTGTCATGGTACTGGTGTGACAGCTTGGTGTCTGATAGCCTCGATCACTCAGAATGGATTCCAAACCAAAACGTTGTAAAGCGTGTTTACTCTTTCTTAACTTATTCTCCCAAGAACAAACACTCTACCACAGATTCTGACTGAATTATTACCAGAAGCTCTTTAATTCGGCATTTATAACCAGTATGGCACAAAGTAGCATCTCTAAAAAAAAATCTACTTTCTGAATGTTTAAGTGTGCTCTACCATCCCCTCAGTTGAAGAAGGTTGTTAAAGCAGGTGAGACAAGGCTACAATACACTGTACATGATGTGTGTTCATATAGAAGTCTAGCTGTACCATTTGTGCATTGGGATTGAACATCAGATATCAATCTCTACTAACAGATCCAGTCTGACAGCTTGGCACAGTTCACATTTCTTTGCCTTGATGACAGCAACACATTTCTGGTTTTGCATCCTTCTCTCATCAGTTATTTTTTCAACATAAAGGATGGGGAAAGCTATTCTTCTTGTAATCCATTTGAAGGTACTTAACTACATGCTGGATTTATGTAGGCTACCTATTTATTTGTTGACTCACATTTGTTAATTTATTGTCTACAATCTTCTTTCTTGAAAGGGTAGTTACCCACCATCCAAAATTGGGATTAGTCCTACAGTTCACAAAGACTGAAACTGTAAAGAGGAGTAAGTGATGAGGGCAGATTGAACCAGTGCACCTGTTCAGGTAAAGCGCTCCGTTGAGACTGCATGCCTGCTTTTCAAACAGCTTTCTCTCCCCAAGAGGCTAATGAAATTTCCACCCTTGGATGAATCTGTAGCCGTCCCAACTTAACTGCTCCCATCTGACCGTGTGATGAATAGATGCTGTTGTACACACACAAGAATTTAGACCTCTGAATATGTTGTGAATATTTCAGTTAATTGGAGTCTGATGTCACACTGCTGACTGAAATGAAAAAGAAAATGTTGGAACATATTTTAATTCTCCTCTGATTCCAAGATAAAGGATTTTTTTTTTACACCTCACTAACTTTAGTGTCAAACAGTATGTGCATGTTTTTAATGAAGTTAGATGGAGTTTGGTTAACCGATGGTATGTTAGTAGTGTGATATCCTAAAGGAAACAGTGGAGGCTGCTGACAGGCTGTCCTCATCACCAGACACTGTGGTGACACAGAAATAGTTCCTTCTTCTGCTCATGTTTCTATAAACTGAGTCCGGGTGGCTGGAACGCTGAGCGCCTGGTGACTGAACCTCAGCTGATTACAGTTCATGCGGATGTCAGCGTTGCCGCTCTGTAAGGTATTTGAGAGAGAGGCATGACCGGTCACATGTAGGGCCTAATAGTCATGAGCACAGAGATGAGCATAATGGGGAGGGAGAAATAACTTCTGTGAGCGCCTGAACATCCACTTTTTTAAAAATGGAGAAAAAAAAGAGGAGTGAAACTTGAGTTTCTGTAGAGGAGAAAATACAAATGTTAAGTTTTGGCTATCTGATTTCAAAGTGTGCAGATTTACATCAACACAACCACCAAATCCCTTATTTGGCAGTCAAATCCTCCCTGGCCTGTCTCACACTCTGTTTTCTCTCCTGTATAGTCAGCTTCCTTAACTTTCTCCTTACTGCATCACATAATGTTTTTAAGTAGGTGTTAAGGAGTTGTAGAAAGCCAACAATAACAAAAGGCAAAAAGAAAGTGTGTTTTCATTAGGACAAAGGAGAGGAAGTCACAGGAAGTCTGACTACATTCATGCCAAGAGTTTCTCAAATGGTACAGTCCAGCAAACCAATTAATCCAGTGTACAGGAAATGTGTTTATATAGGAAGTCAGTAGGTCAGAGGCATGGTAGTGCTGTATTGTTTTAACACTGATCAGTGATGGAAAGTGACATTAGTGATTTAGCTCATGTTCTGCATTTTGTATAATTTTAGTTATTTGTACATAACTTGATTTATTTCCAACTTCTGCTCCACTATCTCTGTCTGATGCAATTATTTACAAGTTTCTTTCCTCCTATCTCGAGCCAGAAGATTTTTTTATTTCCACATTTGATATCCCATGAGTAAAGGCTCCCGCACACTGACTCTCTTAATGCTGACAAATGTATTTGATCATACAACGTTTCTGTCTAACAGACCATATCAGTAGATGTAGGGGGGAAGAAAATCGATTCATGTAAAAATCGATTTTCTTATCTTCTGAGATTTTAAATAGATTTATAATTTCCTTTTTTTAGCTAATCAGTCATTCCCTGCTAAATGCTAATGCTAGCTCTTTCACTCAGTAGAATGCCAAATGGAGCAGCATGGAATTCAGCCAGTCTCACAGATGACTGGAGTAGATCCTGAAGTCTGTACTAATTCATAAATAGACTTTGATCCATGGATCCAGAATAGCTTTGAATGGAAAATGGATTCTGAATTAAATCTTGACCCTAAGAATCGAAATCGAATCGTGAGACACCCAAAGATTCCCAGCCCTAATCATCAGTTATAATGTATATTATATAATGCAACTGATATCCAAACTTGACGTGTTCCACCATATTAACAGATTGCTGTGATTGCCCAAATTTAAAAAAAGGAGATTGTAAGTCAATGAAACACAATTCTATTAATGAGTAAAACTGATTTTTTTTCAATAAAGCCTTAAATGAACAGAAAAACAATATCTACAGCAGTAGCTCTCTTATTCCAACATTTTATTTCATATCAGTGTTTTGGTTTGAGTGATTTTGTCTAAAGTTTCAATACAGATGATTTTCTGTTCTTCATGTCACCCAGGTCCAGGCACCATCACATCATGACAGCCTGTACAGACGGCCCTTCGTCGAGTCTTTTGAGGAGACGCCCATGCTGGTGGCCGTGCTCACCTACATGGGCTACGGGATCCTGACCGTCTTTGGCTACCTACGCGACTTCCTCCGCCACTGGAAGCTCGAACGATGCCACATCGCCAGGGAGAAGGAGGAGCAAAAGGTGAGAAGAGCCAAGGAGACGATGTGAAGCTGTTTCAGGTCATCAGTGTCTTTTAAGAAATACTGAGTATTCAAAACTTCACTGTGAACCTTGTTTCATTTACACTCAGAAAAGAAATGCTATATTTCATAAATCAGGTCAGCGGTTTACCGCAGCAGTTCAGCAGGAATGCTAAAGCTAATAACACAGTTCAAGTATTTTTCTTGCATTGCCTTTATTCCTTTACAGTTCATTGTAACATCCCCTTTCAGGCTGTTTGTTTTCTCCCCAAAAAGCAAAGCTACTGTTGGAGTTATGTGCACAGTTGGGGAAATGTCCTTGACCGTTTAGATTGTTTTCAACCTGTTGTGTAACATTTGATAGTGATAGTGAAGTCCATTGTTTTGAAGTATTTGGTTATGTTAAAGAAAGGAAGCCAGTATAGGAGAGACATGTGGAAGTCATTAAATCAACCCAATGCTATCATACACATATTTCCTACAACATCTAAATGAACTCCCTGAGTCCTGTCTTAAAATGTTTAACACTTTATTCCTCAAAGACTCGCTAAGCTTTCAGAAAGTATGAATGACATGTAGGTCTTTGAACTAGCATTAATACTATGAAAGAGTCCCTACATGTTCTGCTACTCAAGTATTCCCTCTCTCCAACTCCTCATGATCCCTTCTTTTTTCTTCCACATGTAGGACTTTGTGCCCCTCTACCAAGACTTTGAGAACTTTTACACCAGGAACCTCTACATGAGAATCAGAGACAACTGGAACAAGCCGATGTGCAGTGTCCCAGGGGCCAAGATGGACCTGATGGAAAGAGCCACCCTGGACTACAACTGGACGTTTGAGTGAGAGAATCTTTTGTTCAATACAGTGAAAACAGAAATCTATGAGTTAACCTTGTGGTCAGAATTAGACATGCCCCCATTGGACAATAGCAATGGGATGTGAGTTCTATGGTTAATGCCCCAGTCACAGCTGGCACTAACTGTACAAACACAATCTCTCCTTCTGTGGAAAGATTTAAAAAAGTTGCCGTTCTTCTTAGCAGAAAATCCAGATAATATTACTTGTGGACAATCCAGAGCAGGGCTCTACACCAGCTAGCTGGCCAAAGTTAACAAGTTACAATTTGATGTTCTTCTAAGTGAGTTTTTTTTTTAACTAAAAGTAAACCTGGTTCTTCTTACCAGTTGGGTTCTCTGGTTCTTGATGTTGCTTGGTTTTTTGTAGGTTTAAATACCAACAAACGTCACTTTTTATACTTTTAACAATCACAGAAACTGGTGAAAGCTGAGCCTGTTTCCTTCATTAATATCCATTAGATTAAGGAACAAAATGTCCAGCATGCTGGGTAAATATGAGTAAATAAATCATCATTTGGAGATGCTGTGGTCATGTGATTACAAACGTCTTGTAGGCTTACAATTTATTCATTAAAGAATTTACATATAATAATGTCAAAAATTACACAAAGTTTCACTGGATTCTATGATAATGGCCAATCTTTTAGCCATCCTTCTGTTTTGTCACTTAGAGAGGATTCTTTTTAAAATCTTTTTCTTTTGGATCTACCATTTACAGCCATTAAAATAATGTGTAATACATAGCAAAGGGCTCAACAACGCCACCTCACTACGTTTCTGTCCTTCCCCTCGCTCTCAAAATGTTCCCTGATTCATCCTAAGCTACTTTAAGATCAGTTAGGATCTCTGAGAGAAGTCTCACAGTGTTTGTTAATACAGGCACACATCTCTCAGCCCACAGTCCAACACCTGAACATATTTGTTTAAATTAAATTAATAATATTCACAGCATACAAATGATTCCACTTTGAGAAGCTTAATCCTACTTTAATCCTACTTAATCCTCTTTGCAACACTCTAAATGCTAAAGTGCTAAATGTACCGTATTTTCCGCACTATAAGGCGCACTTAAAAGCCTTTAATTTTCTCAAAAAACGACAGTGCGCCTTATAATCCGGAGCGCCTTATATATGGATCAGTTGGTTAATTGGTTGATCCATACTGGTTGTACACGGCGCTCAGCGACACTGACTCGGATAATGACAAGAGGGAGCCGGGCATGTTGGATGCCGTACTCGCCCAACTGTTCAATTCGGACACTGAAGAAGAAGAATTCGAGGGATTCGTGGACGGGGAATGAACTGAAAAAGTGAGCTTTACGTGTTATACGTAACTGAACAATGTTGAGTTATGCACTAACGCAGGGGTGCCCAACCTTTTTTGAACCAAGATCTACTTTTAAAGTTACCAGTCTGCCGAGATTTACCAGTCCACATAGTGAGCCATAGCCTTTACCAACAGCCTACAAACGCATTTAATACTCACACAACAAACAGAAAATAATAAATGAGAGTTCTGTAAAAAATAATGCAGACTACAGACTACAGCAGGCTGCTGTGAGATGATTTTGCTTTTGTTAAATTAGCTGCAGACACGGTGAGAGTGAACGGAGTAAAGTCCAACCGACTGTTTGACCGGGTCACGTGTGTTCCCACCTCGGTCCGTACGGATCACGGATCAACTGTGTGCTGTAGCACTAAAAGTAAAAAGTAAAAAGGTTCGCGTGGTGGCTGGCGCTCCAGTGCGTGTGCGTGTGCGTGTGTGTGTGTCTCGTCCCCCGCGATGCTCACAGTCATGACAGCAGAGAGGAGCAGAGAAAAGTAGCTGCAGCTTCATCAAATGCGCTTAATACTCGTAGCATAGTTTCTATATATGACTTTTTGGTAAAACATTTACCCCCCCGGTTTTACCTGCACGTCATTGCGCATGCCTGCACTCTCTCTTGCGCGCGCTCTCTCTCTCTCTCTATCTCCGCCACTCGCTCTCTCATGCACGCAGCAATTTCACGAATAAATGACAAATTAAATACACACAGGTCGGAAGTATACTTGGGCTCCCAACACAGGTATCGTGTGTGGGAAACAGTGCAATGAGATGAAATTGAAATCACTTTTCTATTTTACAATTGTATTTTATATTGACAAAACATCTCGCGATCGACTGAGAATCAGTCAGCGATCTACCTGTCGATCGCGATCGACTGTTTGGGCACCCCTGCACTAACGTTTGAATTAGCGGTATCAGACTGTGTTTCTTTTACGTGTTTACAACTGAACAAGGCTGGGAGATATTGTGAATATGCACATTAACGTTTGAACAACGTTGAGTTATTGTGAATGCACTACGTATAAAACTACGTTTTGAGAGTTAAGAGAAACGTCAAAGAAATAATTTATTATTTGGGGAAATCGTCTTATGTACTTTTGTTTTTGTAGTTTTATACGTTACGTTTTATACGTATTTATATTTATATATTCACAATATCTCCCAGCCTTGTTCAGTTGTAAACACGTTCTATTCTATGCGCCTTATAATCCGGTGCGCCCTATATATGAAAACAGTTCTAAAATACGCCATTCATTGAAGGTGCGCCTTATAATCCGGTGCGCCTTATAGTGCGGAAAATACGGTAGTTTGATTATTTCGTCTTAAGACATAAAAAATCAATATATATGTGCAACATTCCTATGCAGAGTATAGTTTTGAAGATAGTATTAGGGTCTCCCTTTCAGTTAAGTTAACATGCTAAGAAAGAAAACAAGATTTGTGGCAATCTGTTTGATTGATACAGTTTGTCAGATCACATTTTTAGTTAGCTTGGGGCTTTTTTCACTTGTAGTTAATTTCTGTGATACCCAGTCTGCCAATGTTACGTTAATATCACTCCAACACAGCGTTTGATATCTGGACTCCTCTCTACAGTGGAGGTGTTTGGCAGAGAGGCAGTGGGTTGTGTAAGGTCAGACATTACACTCTGTGAGCTGAGAGTGAGATCAGACTATATGGAGTGCCAATGAAGGAATGCATCACAGAATTTGGCAGATCCTTGATACTGAAAATATTTCAAACAGAGGAATCACATTTTAAAAGTGTTTTGTTTTAACTCTTAACTGTACCAATTAGCTTGTAAGAATGCTGGTCATCTCCTCCTCTCTCTCACAGGTACACAGGGCGGGTAGTGCATGATGTGATGAACTTGGGCTCATATAATTATCTTGGCTTTGCTGAGAACACAGGCCCGTGTGCTGACTCTGCAGCCGAGGTCACCATGAAGTACGGCGTTGGAGTTGCAAGTACCCGGCAGGAGATAGGTAAAATAAACAGACACGCCTGCTTTTTTTTCTTTTCTTGAACAGATCGATGGGTTTATTTAATCCCAGTGTGTTTGATAGTATGGTTGAAGTAAACATATTTTCTGTCTGTAGTGTTTGTACTTTTGCTTTATTTCTCTTGAACATGAAATGTATGTTAATGGGTACATAAAAAAGGGTTGCATCATACATTTGTTGACAGGTATTACCAACATTGCTGCCAAAATATTTAGTGTCAACACACCCAACCTCCCATGATTGAACAGTAAAGCCATTACACACATTACTACCAAAATAGAAGTCGACATCACACAGCCACTAAATCAGCATCTCACTCCACTGCCCTCTGGGGGAAGGTACGCAGCCCTGACATGATCCCTGCACCCATAAACACCTTTAAGAGCAGGCCTCGCTGAACCAGCCGTGTGTTTGTGTCATGTAGACTGTTAGCCTGTGTTGTTGATTGCTGTCAAACCTGTACAGTGCTGTGAAGAAGAATTACCCATCTGGGACTATAAAGTCTAAGTCTGACTTTATTGAAGCTCTTAGGGCACACTCACACTAGCAGGTTGTCTTGTACCGTGCCCCCCCCTACCCCCTCCCCCGCTGGTCTGCACTCACACTGCTCCAGGACAAACGGGGCCAAAGCACGGTTACCGATTTCCAGTGTGTCCTTAGTGACAGTTTGACAAAACAGAGAAAAGAGGACAGATGGTGCTGTGACAAGATGAAGTTAATTTGACAAGAAAAAACAAAGAGCAGGCCCTAACCCAGCTCTGTCTTCGGAGCACTCACACTAGTCATAGAACTGGACTTTAGGGTGAAGTGTGCTCGGGCATGGTACAGATTGTCTAGTGTGATTGCACTTAGAGAGTTTACCTTGGGAAATACTTGCTTTGAGGCAGATTTTTTTTAAACCTTCAGACAGAGCCAGGCTTGCTGTTTCTATCTGTTCTCATTTTTTGATGGTAAACTATGCTAAACAGTAGCTCACTTTAGCTACAAATTCAGCACACTAGAGTGAGTGGGGCTGCTTTGGCTTGTCCGATGTGTCTTTGGGCAAGCAGTTTGACCCTGAATTATGAATGTGTATGAATGGGATTAGCTACGTCTGATGGTCATTTTACATAGCAGCCTCTACCATCAGAGTGTGAGTGGGTAGCTGTGACATGGGGTGTAAAATACACTTCACAGTCAGAAGACTAGAAAAGCTCTATACAAGCTCAAGTCTCAAGCACGCTGACATGCCAACATGCCGACACAACAACACAAACACTTGAAGGAATCTTGGTGTTCATGTGTTACTTTTAATGACAGCTGTCCTTTTCTATCAGAAAGGTATCCTTAAATGACTTCTTTCCCTGATTTCTGACTCTATCCACTATCCTATCTCTACAATGAAGACACAAAGCCCAAAAACAAATCTTATATAAAATCTTAAATATATATATATTATTATTATTTTTTTTTTTTCTTTTGCTTGACCTTTCAAGGGGGCGGGGGGAGCAGTTGGGGGGGGGGGTGGGCCGCCCCCTAATATAATGGTAGGGGAAACACTGAGATGTCATTCCTGTATACATACACTGTGTACTAAAAGCCACACTGATGGGCAGAGTGATTCGGTGTGTTTCTTTTTGTGATTTGGGTGCTTTTAAAGGTTTCATTTGCTTGGCATTATTCAGCTTAAAAGATGTTTCTTAAGGTACTGGTTTAGATCAGTTGAATCCTGGCCTCAGATACATCACCTTTGATACATCTATACCCCAGGATCTCTTTTTCTCATTTCCTTTCTCCAATCAATAAAGGCAAAAAGGCCCAAGAGTATTTCTTACTTGGACTTAGATATTTAGTCTTTAAACTACATATAAAGCTACAGCTAGCTGTCTAGCTTGGAGACTGATTGCAGGGGCAGCTAGCCTGGCTCTTTCTAACTAGTACCCCTTAAGGCTTGACATTTAACACACCATACTGTGTATTATTTTATAATATGTAGCATCTCAAACAGAACCTGTGATTTTTACACTTGGATTTGATATGGATTAAAGGAACAAAACTGTAAAATGTCAAATGTTATGACGGCTGTATAGGAAGATGTAATATATAAGCATAAGGGCAATGATATTCTCTTTACATACTCTGAGAAGGAAAGACAATATGTGCATTTATCCAAATATTCAATCATTCCATTAACCTTAGAGGTGGCTGTGGCTCAGTTGGTGGAGTCGGTCGTCTCTCAACCGGAAAGTTGAGGGTTCGATCCCCAGCTCCTGCAGCCACATGTCCAATATGTCCTCCCAAGTTGCTCCTGCTGCATCATCAGCGGCATATTAATGTGTATGAATGAGATGAGTTAATGCTGATGGTCACTTAACATAGTATCCTCTGCCATCAGTGAGTGAATGTGTAGGTGTGTGTCCTGTAAAAGCACTTTGAGCAGATAGAGGACTAGAAAAGAAATATACAAACTTGTGTTTATTTACCATAGGTGTGATCTATATCAGCACAGATCATTGAGGTGCAGATTGGATATATATCTTATGCTGTCTCGTGTTTTTCAGGTAATCTGGACAGACATGAGGAGATGGAGAAACTGGTGGCTGAGTTCCTCGGTGTGGAGTCAGCTATGGCGTTTGGGATGGGCTTTGCAACCAACTCCATGAACATACCTGCACTGGCAGGCAAGGTACGACCACAGAAAGAGAAATGTCTTCTTGACAGAGCTTTATTATCATCTCTGCATTCTTATCTCCACTCTCTTGCCTGCTCTTTGTGTTTTCTTGTCAAATTAACTTTATCTTGTAACAGCACTGTCTGTCCTCTTTTCTCTGTCTTGTGTCACAATGTCACTCACTAACGCTCAATGTGAAGTTTTTGGAACTATGCACTTCAGTATATTTCCAATGGATGAACTTAGTTTTCTACCAGACACTTTTGTTTGCACAGCATGTAAAATTAATCTAAACCAGTGCTTCTCAACTGGTCTATCCTCAGGACCCTCTACCAACTTCCTTCGGGAAACTGCGAGCCAAATGTTGGATATTTGTCAACCAATCAGATTAAGACGGTACAAAACATGTGACAAAACAAAAAGAAATGGAACAAAATGAACAGGTTTTAAAAGCACTGCATAGCTTTTTGGCCACGTTCCGTGACCCCCTGGAAACAGCTATGTGACCCTCTTTTGGGTCCCGAACCACCAGTTGAGAACCACTGGTCTAAACAAGCTCCTTCATAACATGGTACTATCACAGGCTACCAGTAGCAATGAAAACACAGAAAAATATATCAGGAGGAAACACTTCTCGTTTTCATAAGCAGCTCATTGCTCAACTGCATGTCAGAGTGGAAAAATAACAGAACAGAATCTGTTTGCCCAGTGCTGCTTTGTAGGAAGAGAGTTCATCATATAGTGGGTTTGTGCTAGTGAGAGGACACCATCCATGGAAAATGTTACATTTATTTTATGCTTATGAAAAAACCAGTGATAGATGAAGTATTCAGATCCTTTACTCACATGGAAGTAGCACCCTGACAATACCCCTTAAATCTGAAGTGGTGTTATTGACTTATAGTTTGCCAAATTTACAAAGTTTTTACTACCAAATCAAACACATTTACCTACATAATCAAATGTTCAAGCACTCCTTCTGCAGCAAAGGCTCTTTTGTTTTCATATAATGTGTGATCTCTTCAATATATTGGACTGCTTTGCGTATGTCATTTTAGCTGCTTTTTATATTCAAGGCTGAGATAAGTCGTTTACATGCTTGGTTGATTTCCAGAAAATGTGTGTGCATCTTGGTAACCCCTATGGACAAATCAATATATCTTATCACTTAGCTGATCTTATCCTGTACATGCATGAGTAGTGTTTCATAGAAAAACTAAATCCTTTAACAGTTACATGTTTCACTCCCGGTGAATCTTCTCCATAGAAAATTTAAACAGGTTCAGCAGCATGTCATTAATCATGCTGTCTGACCGAGAGTTAATGGCAGCAGTCCGAGGCTCTCAAAGCTCATAAAGTTTATCACATGTTTGTTCTCTGTACTGTGACATCAACATATCTCTTCCACCTTCATTTATTAATTTATTTTAACTTTAACTGCATCATGTCCTATGTTGAATATTTTGTGTTGTATTGTGTATATAACTTAGTTTTTCTATATTTCTGAACATATGTTTATGTCTTATATTTAATTGACTGCTGATGTAAATTAGCCTTTTGGCTAACTCAGGTAAATCCATCATAATGTTTATTAATGTACAAAGCCTCTTTTCAAATTAATACATTTTTTATACTAATCCAAGAGGGGTTCAGCTAGAATTCAGTTTGGGTTTGAGCACTTTCTTAAACCATTAAAAAAATAAACATATCCTCCAGTTTATCTGAAACATTCTAACTCCAAATCAGCAGATTTAGAAATGTATGGTCTTTGCTTGACTGGAGAGTATGACAAATGAGACTGCAGACTCACCCCCAAAGACAAATATGATGAGGAATAAGTTTAAAGTTGCAGAACATTAAAAAACTTGTGCTAAAGGTCAAGATACTGATAATGTACTACACTGTTGTAAGCGGCTGTGGCTCAGTTGGTAGAGTCGTCGCCTCTCAACTGGAAGGTCGAGGTTTCGATCCCCAGCTGAGCAACATGTTCGATGTGTCCTTGGGCAAGACACTTAACCCCGAATTGCTCCCACTGCTTCGGTGGCGGTGTATGAATGGCATTAGTTACTTCTGATGGATGATACTACATAGCGATCATCACTACCATCAGTGTGTGAATGTGTAGGTGTGACATGCAGTGTAAAAGCGCTTTGAGTAGTTGGAAGACTAGAAAAGCGCTATATAAACTCAAGTCCATTTACCATTTACTGTTACTGGAGTGGATGCTCTTAGTTGTAGTCTCCTTCATTTATCCTTTTAAACATTTTGGTTAATAAAGGTTAAAGAATCAACATTGTAGTAGTAACTTGATCAGCAGTCTCGATGTGATGACCTCAGCACATATCATTAGGTTTACACTGACCATGCATAACGTTTATGCAGACCCTTCTGAGGGTCTTAAACCTCGCCAATAATTCCTAAGTTGGATCCCCATACTGAAGAGCACCAGAGGGACACAGTCTTTTCAAAATAAATCTGTTGTATCATTTCTCTGTGTGTCTGGTGTGCTGCAGGGCTGTCTCATTCTGAGCGATGAGCTGAACCATGCCTCTCTAGTCCTGGGAGCCAGACTCTCCGGGTCCACCATCAGAGTCTTTAAACACAACAGTAAGTCTGAAGACTAAAAGAAGCACCTCTCCTACCTGCATTGATAGGGCCATTTACTTTTCTATTCCACCCTCATCCTGGTGTCCACTTCTATTTTTTGGTGTCCCCCCCCAGTTAAGTTGCAATATTTTCATTCATTGCTTTTCTTTCTCTACATCACTTCTGTGCAGGACTTTAATCTGATCATTTAAATCAGAAAGGAAATCACAGACATTACAGACGAACCCATCACAGTGGAGTGAGCACTGTATTCAAATTCTTTTAAGTATCTTGAAAAGCATTTTAATATTCATAAAACACAGAATAAAATATTGGTGGTTGTGTATGTCAAATAAAGAGGGACATGGCTAGCAAGCTACTCATTTTGGTCTTATTGAAAAAAGAAGTAAAATGAGCATGTCTTTACAGTTAATCAGATAAAAAAACATACTCACATAAAGCATGAAGTCATTGACATATATATATATATATATATATATATATATATATATAATATCTCTCTCTCTCTCTCTCTCTCTCTCTCTCTCTCTCTCTCTCTCTCTCTCTCTCTCTCTCTCTCGAGTAATGGTTTGTGTATGTAATCAGCTGTTATTGTTTTATAGCCGTTATGCTAACTAGCCCTGTGTGGGCATGGCCAGATGTTGACTGTCCTGCTGGGTCATCTTTTATTACACAGTTATCATCATGTTAAATGTGACCAAACTTTCTACTTTTATGCCCATTAATAAGTTTTGTGTAATTAGCAGCTAAATGCTTACAATGAGCCTTTTCACATCAAGCCCTTAGCTAAAAGCTAACTTACTACTTAGAAACACTTGTTTTTATCTTTTGCCCAAAGCCCACCAAATATGCAAGCTAAGCTAGTATTTTTATTTATGTTTTGGGAGCGGTGGAAAAAAGCAAAAGCCTTGACATTTTTCTTTCTTTCACCAAAATATGCTCACAGTTTGACGATGGTAAATGTGCTTAGAACACGACTTGAACCTGACTCTGTCCACTGTGTTTTTAATAAACACTTTGTATTCAGGCCGTACTGAATCTGTGACTGTGAGAGTGTCTGGCACACAACAAAATGAAGGTGGTTTTCTGTCACCGCTGGTCGCTCCAGCTGTTTATAAATGTCTTGATTTTCCTGTCAGATATGCAGAGCCTGGAGAAACTGCTGAGAGAAGCCATAGTCCACGGGCAGCCCAGGACTCACAGACCATGGAAGAAGATCCTAATAGTGGTAGAGGGCATTTACAGGTAGCTTATCCACTTTCTTTAAGATAAAGGGTTAAATATTTCCTGTTTGAAACTGTAAAGCCTGGTTTCTACTTCTGTTCTACTTACTTTAGTGTGTTTGTGTAGCATAGAAATGAGATTGCTAGTTGGCAGTCCGGTTTCTATGCTTGATATGTTGCCACTTTATTGGTTCTGCTACATTCTCTGCTTGTGTACAGGTAACCATGGTGACTGTAACTGAGCTGGAGCTGATAAATATTGAGCAGCAGTTAATTATATTGGCTCGTGGCATTCTTCCTTGTGCAGAATTTTGAAAATGGCGGCTGTAGGAGAAATGTTGTAAATGTAGGAAACACAATGCTACCCAGCAGTCCAATCAGAGGGCTTGCAGCTGCATCGTTTTGACACATGTTTGAGGGGTTTTCCATATGTACAAGGCTACACAAACCTACAGCATATGCTGCGACGGAGATTCAACACAGAAGTATCAAATCAAGCTGAAGACATTTTTCTGTTTATTGTCCTTTAATTAATGTCTTGCCTGTCTGGCCTTGTGTCTTGACTAGATGGTTAGGTTTTTGGTGCAGAACACAACAACAATGATGTTATCAAGGCGTGCAGGTTTATTTATACAGAGCGTGAAGCAAGAAGGCGATTCAAAGTGCGTCACATAAAACATCAAGAGCATCATGACGAGGAGCAAAAGAAGCTTTAAAATAGAACATTTAAAAATCACTCTGCAATCAGTGCAGAGACATTTAGAGATTATAAAAGGGAATGTTGTCAACAATGGTGTCACAATAGGAGTTCCCCATTATCTCCTTCCTTGTTTCAACATGAACTCTTCATTACTGCATTGCACAAGAAGTCGTTTTACCACACACACACAAATATGCAGGTTGACGCTCTTAGTTGAAGCCAAAGCCACAATGTCGCTGTTAAAAAGTAACATTCAATTTAAAGTTCATTTTTGAAGCTAGTACTCTGTATTAGCTTTAGTATGGATAAAGCAAACATGTCAGTAGATGTCTTACACAAACATTTAAAAAAAACTGACTTTCACTTCCATTTCATTGATGTGGGTCCTGGTTGATAAAGCTGATTCAGTGCTCGGTTAGCTCTTAGTAGAAATGTACACTGTGAGCAAGTTTGAGGCTGCTGCAGAAGACACATAATTTAGTAAACTGCATCTTTGAGATGCAATAGAGCCTTCCCCTTGTTTATCTTTTCTGTTGTTTCCTCTGATGTTGTTTTATTATTATCATCATTGATACCACAGCTTTGGATAAGGACATAAAACATCAAGACAAATGATTCCCTGCTGGATCTTCTTTCCCACACTGCAGCATGGAGGGCAGTATTGTGCGCCTGCCAGAAGTGATTGCCCTGAAGAAGCGCTACCGGGCCTACCTTTACCTAGATGAGGCCCACAGCATAGGGGCGCTGGGGCCGAGAGGGAGGGGGGTCGTGGATTACTTTGGTCTCGACCCCTGTGATGTGGACGTCATGATGGGCACTTTCACCAAGAGCTTCGGCGCTGCAGGGGGATACATCGCAGGGAAAAGGGTGAGGATGCTGAAATAGACTTTTTTTTAATCTGGCTCTTTTTTTTGTTTTGTTCGAAAGGAGTTTTGGATGAATGAAACGGTACTCATGAGTGACACAACTGGTGTGGTGAAAACAGCTTACACACATTTTAGTATCCTAGTCTTCTTGCTGGTTTTACTAAACAATACTTAAAGTCTTTATATGTGATTTTTTTTATCCAGCAGATGTCGCCCTTGAGCACCAGCATGAAACCAAAACAACTCGCGCTGCATTGTTGTGTTAGCATGCTAATGCTAGCGATCTTTATTATGCTCCTATCTTCACACTGCATGTAAATTTACCTGAAATGAGCGTGATCTAGAAACACAGTTAAGCAGTGAGTACAGTATGTTATTCTTCTTTTCTCTAGTCCCCCACCAAAAAAAAGTTTATAAGTGAGGGGAGGAGTCAGCCGGCTGTCCGGGCGATGTAAACAAACTGAAGATAGGACTCTGAAAACATCACAGACAGTGATACTCGGGTGTTACACCCATTGTAGACAGTCATGACTCACAGAGTTATTTTCAGAGGATATACTTGATTTCTATTACACTGAAGTGTGAAAAATCACATATAAAGACTTTAACATCAATCTTACAAAGAATGATTTAGTGGGTTGCTAATGTCAAGATCAGGGATTACTGTTTAAGGCTACAAAGATTTAAGCTTAAAAAATTATCACCTGTCATCTCGTCAATGCCTTCAGTTCATGTGGGCTGCATTCCCAACATATTAGCCCAGTTTCAGGATACGCCATTGTTATGAAAGCAGCTTCAAAGAAATCTTGTGTGTGTTAGTAATTTGAGTGTTTATTGCATGGCCTTGTGGGACAGTCTTTACATTTCCCTGCACATCTGTATGAGCATGTGACAAATCTTGAATCTTGAATCTTGAATCCTTCATGCTTGTAGAGACTGCTGTGTGGTTCATGTATCTACTTAACATCTCCTGTGTATCTCCGGCTTTAGGAGCTTATTGAGTACCTGCGCTCCCACTCCCACAGTGCGGTCTACGCCGCCTCCATGTCTCCTCCTGTGGTGGAGCAAATCATCACTTCTATGAAGTGCATTATGGGAGACGATGGCACAACAATAGGTGAGTTGATAAGAATATCAAATGAGTGCCTCTGAGAACTTTTTTTAATCGATAGTTTCCTGTTTAGTTTTTCTAGTGCTCCACCTTACATGTGCACAGGGGTCGTACCTGCTGCCTGTGGTTTCACATGAATCATACTTTAGGGATGTAACCATTCACTATCCTGGGTTCACGGTACGATTCTCTGACAATTTGTTTTACAAAATGAAACTATGGACAAATGATGAGTGAAACAGATTCCTTTAGGGGCTGTGAACTCACTTGTCAGTGTGGTTTCGCCTTTTTATTTATTATTTATTTTTTGCATTAAGGAGAGGTGATTGGAGCTTCTCTTTGTGGTGTTTTTAAATGAAGATTAAATGCTGCATCATGTTGGTTTTGTTTTTTGAGTAGTTCTCTGTCTTGTAATATTTACACACAGTTTTTCTCTCGTCTGTTTTCTTCTCACTTCTTTCATTTTCCGTCTTGTTGAAGCCAAAATGTTTCCACACCTCCAATTTAAAAAGAAGTTGGTGCATCCTCAATTTCTAAATCTTGCTCTGCAGCTGCTGACCCTCACCATATTATTGAGATTCATTTTTCAGAGTACTGATGTGAATCTTGACACCTTTGAATCGATTTATCACAATTTTACAACTAATCTTTACATCCCTATGCTTCAGATTACTGCACATCATGAGTAAAGCCATAAAATACAATTGTGAACAATGCAGATTTTAAAATATTCCAAAGTTGAGAAGGGAAATGCTTTAAAACACTTTGGTAACACTTGAATGAAGGTTACATTATTCACCATTATCTAGTTGCCATGCTAATTAATAAGCATTATACTGGCTGCTTGTTCATTATTATTAATGTCTTATTAGAACCTTATTCTACATGAGCACAGTTTGCCATCAATACATCTAACGGCTGCTTCATGAAAGTAAGTTAGGAAGTTGTTGAATGTGAATTATGATCTTAATAGTCTTTGTTTAGTATGGCCCTATAAGGATGAAGTTAGCAAAACATATTAAAGTAATAATTCATGAACAACGAGCTTGTCATTATGTCACTGATAGACTAACAAATCAGACCAAACCTCTGAACAAACGGTAAAGATTCAATACGAGCACAGAGATATTGATAGGGCATCGTTCTGTGTGTTTACGAACAAAATGACAAACTCTTGAGGTCCCGCCTCCTTAACATCCTAAAGGAGCTCCTGGATGACCTCAGAAAGAAAGTCAAAATAACAAATATTCAGCTGCTGAAAGGAGCCTAGCAGCTCAAACAACACTGTTGACTTTGTTTATGAGAACATGTTAAAGAGAGAGAAGCAGCTAATGACTAGGTCAAATACTAATAATATATATATATAGTCTTTAGATCAGTGATTCTCAAAGTGGGGTCCCAGGACCCCCAGGGGTCTGTGAACCATAGCTTGGGGATCCGCGGAATAATTGAAAAACAATTGTAAAAGTGTGCTATATCATTGAAAAAACATATCTACAAACTGGGACCTCTTGCACCAATAAAATCAGCTATTTTGTCCTTTACTCCTGGCCTCTTTAGTTTTGTGGCATTAGATCAATTCTGATATGAGCGTGACATGTCTGTCACTTCATAGTGCATAACAATAAAAAAAGCTCAAAACAAGAAACACCTCGGAGCCAACATTTATTAAGTTTACAAAATGAATTACTTGGAAAGTATAAATGTAGTCTAATTCTATCATTGCAGAGTAATACATAGTACATTATTACATAGTATTAATATAGGCTTATCAACATTACGATAATGAGGGGGGTCCTTGGAAAAATTTCAACAAAGTTTGATAACCCCTGCTTTAGATAATGAAGCGACTGACTTAAAGTCTCTCAATGATAAACTGAACACAGATTTCATTTCTTTTCATTTCATATTTCATATTTATATATATATATTTTCTCATAATGCTGAAACACTGTTCATGAGCAAACAGGAGCAGGAAGAAGAAAACTTATAATACCTGCCCCTTTCCTAATAACACAATATACTGTTTAACAGAATAAGATGGCTAACCTGTAATCTTTCTTTCACAAAACAAAAAAATAGATAAAAAAATACAGAAACAATCAAATACAATTAGTTAGATTAACTAAATACATTCATAATTTTTCAGAACCTTTTCTTTATACATTCTTTTAAATTGAATGATCCTTAAGCAGCATTTTAAATGATTATCGAGAGAATTCCATAATTTAACTCCATTTACTGAGATACACATTTGTCTTAATGTAGTGCGCGCAAATGGATTTTTAAAATTAAATCTCCGTCTATGATCCTCCTCATTAGATGTATATACAAACAACTTCTGTACATTTTCGGGTAATGATCTATTTCTAGCTTTAAACATGACTAACAATGTTTTCAAGTGAACTAGATCCTGAAATTTCAACACACGTGAACTAACAAACAATCTGTTAGTATGTTCTCTAACGTTCACTTTGTTTATAAGTCTGATCGCTCTTTTCTGTAAAACAAACAAAGGTTTAGTGTTGGTCACATATGTGCTGCCCCATACCTCATTGCAATAAGTGAAATATGGAAGAATAAGCGAACAGTACAACATATGGAGAGAAGCGGAATCCAAACTGTCCTTTGCTCTGTACAAAACACCAATACATTTACACAATTTTCTCTTTACATATTCTATGTGAGGTTTCCACATCAGTTTTTCATCAATTATGACTCCCAAAAATGTTGCTTCAGAAACTCTTTCAAAGAGAACACCGTTTACAGACATGCTGATGTGTTCCTCCTTTTTTCTATTTCCAAAAATCATAAATTTAGTTTTATTCCAGTTCAACGATAATTTATTTTCATCAAACCACAATTTCAGTTTATCCATTTCACACACTATAGTCTCTGTAACAGACTTCAAATCGTTTCTTGAACAAAACATATTTGTGTCATCAGCAAACAAAAGAAATTGCAAAATGAAAGAACTTTGACAAATGTCATTAATATACAGAATAAACAATTTTGGGCCCAAAACTGATCCTTGTGGGACCCCACACATAACTTTTTTAGACTCCGAGTCAAAACCAGTAAACTGTACAAACTGCTTTCTATTTTCCAAATAACTTTTTAACCATTCATGTGCAATTCCCCTAATTCCATAATTTAGTAATTTGGATAATAACAAATCATGGTCTACGGTGTCAAAAGCATTTTTTAAATCAATAAATACGCCAACCGTGTAATTCTTGTTTTCTATGGCTGCTGAGATTTTTGAATTCTATTAATGCTAAGGAAGTATTTCTATTTGTTCTAAATCCATACTGTTTCTCACTTATTAGATTATTTTTTTTCTATAAAATCATCTAATTTTCGAGCAAAACACTTTTCCAGCACTTTAGAAAACGGAGGCAGCAATGACACCGGTCTGTAATTATTAAAACAATGTTTGTCACCATTTTTGAAGAGTGGGACTACTTTTGCCATCTTCAGTTTTTCAGGAAAAATACCAGTTTTAAGTGACAAATTACATATGTAGGTGAATGGAGTAATTATGCAGTCTATTCATAGAAAAAGACAATAGTCTTTTTTAAAATTGTCATATCAATACCATGACAGTCAGTTGATGTTTTACTCTTACTTTTCATAACAATGGTAGAGATGTCATTCTCACAAATTCCTCCAAGAAACATTGACTGCAGAATTTGACTCCCTCCACCATCCCTTCTAGTTCTCTTGATTTGATTAGGACCTTGAGATTAAATGGATTTGGCAAGATTAGGTCCAATGTTTACAAAAAAAAGAATTAAACTCATTTACAATCTCGGTTTTGTTTTTTATAACTTTATCATCCTTAACAAAAAAATCGGAAGAATTTGTGGCCCTTGAGTCAGATCTTATGACGTTATTCAGAATCTTCCATGTGCCTCTCAAGTCACCTTTATATTCTCTCAATTTTCCATTATAATAATCCTTTTTCGCTTGCCTTAATATCATTGTCAACTTATTTTTGTATACCTTGTATTTCATTTCAGAAGTGTTTGTTCGATATTTTATATAATCTCTATATAATTTATTTTTCTTCTTACATGCCTTTTGTAATCCTTTAGTCATCCAAGGCTTTTTTTCATAATTATTTTTCATCCTTCTCAACAGTAAAGGACAATGCTTGTCATACAGAGATAAGTAAGACTTCAAAAATGTATCAAATGCCACATTCACATCCTTGATGTATACCCCAGTCCAGTCTTCCTCCACAAGGTCATTTCGAAAATTATTTATTGCTTCATCTGTTCTTAATCTAATATATTTTAAATGAAGCTCTTCCTTATTTCAAGATAGTTTGAGAACAAAACAGGATGAAGAAGAGAGACATGTGTGACTCAGCTTTCTCACATTCTGCTTGCTTCAAGGTGTTGGAAGATTTTACATTAGCTGCTGTCATTTTCATCTTTCCCCACTAGGTGTCAGTACATGTCTGGAGGTAATGTCTCAGATCTTTGATCCACTTCTGAATGTTTGTTGTAATTGTTTGACCAAAAAGCTTATTGATCTCCTTTCTTTACATTTGACTTTCATGACTTTTCATGTTCTTATTGATGAATATCTATGATAACACATGACAGTAAGTTTAACATGAAAAATAAACTGTCAAACCCTACTCTGAAAGGTTCATCTTTGGGTGACCCTATAGAAACAGCTTTGAACCATAACCCTGAAAACAGCACAGCCTGGGAGAGGTGTAGTAAATAATTACCAACTTCTGTCCATAGCGTGTGTGATGACATAACCCTTAATTTATCTTTTTGTAATGAATAAAAGGCAATCAGTTATATGCTTACATTCTCTGTATTTGTATCTACTTTTAAAAAGCACGTCCACAGAGTTTGAAGTGAAGTTTTGAATTTTCCTTCTATTTTTATTATGGTCTATAACAAAAAATTATATTTTCATCAAAGCAAGATATGGACCTTTGTGTGTCTGCGAAGTCCATAGTGTTGTTTGATACAGAACTGGCTTTTCAAACTTTATGAATTCACTGAAGTACGCCTCTTGTCAACATTTGTAAAACTCCTGAGAGCATCAGGAGCCTCGCTCTATAAACAGCTCTGTTTTTTTTCTCTTAAGATGCAAAGGTTCAGAGTGGGTACAAATATTCTTAAATGGAGAAAAGTATTTTTTTTTATTCAATTATATATTTTAAGATATTTTAGGCCAACTTTTCCTTTATTGATCGCACAGCTGGATTGATATTGAGAGGACAGCAACAGATACAGAAAATGTTGGGAGGAGAGAGAGAGTGGGGGACGACGTGCAGCAAAGGGCTGTGCTCGGATTCAAACCCACAGTCACTGTGACGAGGACTATAGCCTCTGTACATGGGGCGCACGTCAAAACCGCTGGGCCATCTAGCGAACTAAGCCTGGTCTACCATTTTGAATGGACCTTTGGACTTAAAATAAGAGTTGATAACATTCATCAAATATGATGTTTCAAAGTCTTGTCTTGTCATCCTCAGGCATTGAGCGTGTGCAACAGCTGGCAGAGAACACAGTCTACTTCCGCAAGAGACTTCGAGAAATGGGTTTCATAATCTATGGAAACGAGGACTCGCCTGTAGTACCCATGATGCTCTACATGCCTGCAAAGATAGGGTGAGCTTTAACCTGCCCAGTGTTTACCACCGTCTATAACAAAATATATATCTGTGACATGTTCAAAAATGGTTTACTGTAAACTCCAGCTGAGCTCTGGGAAAGATTCACTTACATCCAACAAAGAAGTTGCCATTAGTAACCATCTGACGACCTTCCTCAACTATCCTGTCAAACAGGAAAGAGAACCAAGGCAGACTGCAGAACCCCCCAAAAAATACTAAAAGCCTGCTCTGGAGAAAATTTTGGTTTGTGCGTTCTTGGCTACTTAACCATAAAAAACTTCTACAGAACTAAGAAAGCAGGACATTTGTTGGACAGGACAGCTGATGGTGGGGTTCGGTGCCTTGCTCAAGGGCACCTCGGCAGTGCTCAGGAACTGGACTGGCACCTCTCCAGCTACCAGACCAACTGCTGGACTTGGTCCATGTCCGTCAAGGGACTTGAACCGGCGACCCTCCAGTTCCCAAACCCAAGTCCCTACCGACTGAGCTACTGCCGTCCCAGTAGCCAATTCAAAGTGAAAATCAATCCTAATGTTTTAAACATCCTGAAACATTCATGAGAATTCATCAATAAACTTGATGTATCTCTCACTCTAGATCAAGTTAGGTCAATAATATCATTTCTGTGTTCATTTGAAGCCATGTGCTTCTTGGTTATATCATTAATGTTGAGCATGGAGGGTCTTCAATGACCTCAAATCCAACCCTTCTCTTTCTTACCATAGGGGGGGGTGTCTTTTGAAGGTGGGGTAGGTCTCACCTTCAAAAGACACCCCCCCCCCCATTACGGTAATAATAATAATAATAAATCCACAGTTGTCGCCCTGATGTCATTTCTGTGTTCTTCCCCGCAGAGCATTTGGTAGGGAGATGTTTAAGAGGAACATTGGGGTGGTGGTTGTCGGTTTCCCTGCTACACCCATCATCGAATCTCGTGCACGCTTCTGCATCTCAGCCGCACACACAAAAGACATGCTAGTCAGGGTAAGTCCTTCTTAAACTGTTTCTTATTTCCCTTAGAGGGATGAAAATGTTTATCTGTTGCTCTGGTCTGAGCAGAATATAGTGACTGCATCACTCTGGGGGTTCACATGTTATTTAAAGTGTATAGAATCCTCTTCATTGTGTTTCTCTCTGTAAGTTCAGAATGTTCAGTTTTCAGTGTTTTTTGGCAGCATGTCAGAAAGCCGCCCCCTCTCCTCAACAAGGGGCTCTACTTCCTCTACTGAGCTCTCTACAGGCCTCCCTGCTCTTCGTCTGATAAACAAACTCATCGGCCTTACCCCGTTTAACCTTCACAAATATTATTTCAAATCTCAGTGAGTTGTCTTATGGCCCATTTGGCTGCGATGCATAGAAAGTGCAGCTGTACGGGGGGGGCTATGCACTCCTGTTCTACTTGTGCTGTCCTCAAATAAAGTGAAGACAGGGAGAGGGAGTATTGTAGTGCTGTAGTGCTTTTATCTGTCATGATATTACAACTCTTTGTTAGCCTTCCTCTCTGGATGTTTTCTCCTTCTTTGATGTGTCATGTCCACTTTGTCTTCCTTTCATCTGCCTTTGACCTCTTCCAACACACCCACACGTGTACACACTAAAAGTCCTGTCCTTCTAAGGACCTTTCATTTCTCTGACCATATTGATATCCTAACCCTGAAGCCCTGAAGCAAATCTTCAATCACTCTAATCTACTCTGACTTCTTGAAACAAGACAGTTTGATTTGGGCCGTTCTGTGTCTGAGGAGGTCAGATGATGACATTCAAGTACAACGCAGCGGCTGCAGCTGAAGAGGGAGGTGATGCACTTTATTAATCCTACGACTTTAACATTCTGTGACTGAACATGTTACACACACATGCACAAACAGGATCCTATGGACATGCACTAATGGAGGGATGTCATCCTAAGATGGTGGGGGGGGGGGGCATTGCTCAAGAAGTGAACTGGCATCTCCCCAACTATCAGACCAATTTCCAGATTCGGTCCACACTGACACTTGAACCTAAAAACCCTCCAGTTCCCAACTCTAGAATTCTAGTACATCTGCATTGAATCATCTCTGCTCTTGTCTCTGTACACATGAAGTGCTGCACACTAATATAAAGACACATCGGGATCTGGTTAAAGTTGCAAATAAACAACATTTCCACATCAACACTAAATCAAATAAGGATGCACAGAGTGTTCCCCTGACTCTTTCAGGATCTGACTTTTTTGTTTCAAGGGGTTTTTTGGTATTTCAAATGTTGTGTGTTTTGACTTTTTGATCCATAACTTGACTGTTTAGGTTATTTTTCACTGAACCAATGAACATTGTTTTAGGATCATTGGCAGTTGATTTCATCAAAAAGCTTTGAAAACATTTTTCAAAAAAAAGATTCAAACATGCATTTAGCCATCTCTATGTGTAATTATAGCATTCTGGATTCATGCACCTTTAAGATCTCTTCTTTGTTTGGAGTTTAAAGCAGTATGTGCACAAGCTTCTGCTCAGATGGCATGTCTGTATAAACTCAGTGAACCCTCTGCCGACTGAAAAATGTAAAAGACTGGTTCCATCTTGAGCATTAAAGGTAGTGGTGTTTTCTGTGTGAGATGTGATCGTACACGACAGGTGTGCTTGGTAATTTTAACATATCCTTGAGTTACATATTGTCCTTCATGCTGACAGCTTTCTTTTTTCTCATGGTATAAATGTCTCCACAGGCGCTGAGTGTCATCAGTGAGGTAGGAGACCTTCTTCAGCTCAAGTACTCCCGTCACAGAAAACAGCGGTCTGCAGTGCGGCCCTTTGATGATAACGTGTACGAGGACATCGACGACTGATGAAACAGTCATGATGTGAACCGGAACAACCCTAAAAAAAAAACACAGGGCCCGTCAAGATGGATCACAAGGTCTTCCACAAGGACCCAGACATGTGCACAGGTGCCCCTTGTCACCAGCTTGCCATTATTTAACCCTCCAACAGAAAAAAGCACTTACAAACTATCACCTTTGTTCTACTTTGCCTTACCTTAAAGTGCAGAAACGTGTGGTGACCATGCTGAAAAACAACGTCTGCTTCAGTCTAACATGTCTCCTTGTTTTCTGTGTGTTTCTTCAGTGCCTGTTAGAAGTGTCTCTGTTACGCTTGTTGTATATGAGTTGGATGAATGTTGAATTTCACAGTGTCTCTGGTATCGCAAGCTGCTTTTTTTTTTTTTTAAATAGAGTGAACTTTTAACGGGTGAGTAAAAGAATTTTAAAATCAAAAGTGTAAGACTTTATTTCAAGTAAACATTCAGATCACTGCTGTTGGCCATGATGTGAATAATTAATCTGTATCATACAAAACATTAATATCTATAATTGTCTATCTTATCCAGATTTGGACATCTTTTCATCTTATTCATTTTTTTTGCAAGTGTTTGTGGGGAATAGCCTCGTCTGCTAAGCCCTGGTGAAGACGAGTCAAAGCTGAAGAGTTCCTTGAACCTGTCTTGACCTCTTTCAAAACAACCTCAAGTTTCATCACACTACCTTCTGGTCATTCCATGATTCCTTTGTTCAACTCAAGTTTTAAAGAAGATCCTCAATGTTGGCCCCCTCCATGCAGTTTTACATGTGGTGAATGTCATGTAGCACAGAGGAATCCTTTTTACTGAAACATATTTATTATTCATTGGTTTTCATCTTTGAGGATCAGAAGCTCAATATAACTATCATGGCTGCTAAGCTGATTAGCTGTTTTCTTACACTTTATATTGAACTAATAGACAAAAGAACAATGTGGATATAAATACAAATATAAGATGGTATCGATTTGCTCAATTTCATTTAAAACCACACAAATAAGCAGATTCAGCAAACCAGTTGAGTTACAGTTACATAACTAATTTACTAATGCTGCTAATGTGAGCTAATTATTAACATGCATATAAGAACACCTAAAACAACAATGTATGTTCTACAGCTGAGAGATGTGTGTGTCTACATTATTACCAGCTCTAGATCAAGACAACAGTGCAAAATGATTAGATGTACTATGATGATGATAAACCTTATATAATGATTACTCTTACTGATTGCAATGCCTTCAGAATGACACTTAATCAGTGTTATTGAAGCATTGATTACATTATACACTTTGCTCCATAATTCAAACTCCAACTCTCTGTAAAATTTGGATTCGGTTGGCCACCCCAGTTATCTTACTGGTTGCCATAATCTCTGGTATGCTTCAGTTGATTTTGTTTATTAGATTTACTTGGTTTGAATTGGTAAAATGTTTATGTGATGTAAATGTCGGCTGTGTCTCAGTTTGTAGAGTCGTCGTCTCTCAACCAGAAGGTCAAGGGTTCGATTCCCAGCTGGACAACATGTCCGATGTGTCCTTGGACAAGACACTTAACCCCAAGTTGCTTCCACTACTTGTCAGTGGTGTATGAATGTGATTAGTTACTTCTGATGGATGATACTACACAGCAGCCTCTACCATCAGTGTGTGAATGTGTGGGTGTGACATGTTGTCTAAAAGCACCTTGAGTGGTTGGAAGACTAGAAAAGCTCAAGCTGTTTACCTTTTATCTGTCCTTTTAAGTCTAGTTCATTGCTGTCAACGTTCTAGAGACAGAACAGTCTTGATGGGTCAGCTTCATTTGAAATAATACACTTGTTTACTCTGGGCCAGGTAGAAGAACATCCTGCTAACACTAAACTAGTGATATCCTTCATTTCCATTCCTCCCCGGGTCCTTTTAGAAAAAGCCTCATTGTCTTAGATAACATTACTTTAATGTCTTGTAAAACAAGTTGCTCATATCTTGTTCAGTGTGTCAGGGGAGTGGATTGTGTGCTGGCTTCATGGATTTTGGGTACTTTTGTGTGTAACTGCACTTCTGCCTCACTCTTCTTCCATGTGCATGCCTGTATTTTGTTCTTTGGGTTAGTCTGTACACTATGGGCCTGATTTACTCAAGGTTTGCATGTCTTAAAACGTGTGCAAACTTGATACCACCAGCAAAAAAAGTGCTATCTGATCTACTAACGGCGTGCAATGAGGATTGAATCTTTCAAATGAGCAAAACACGCATTGACCATTTAGTACGTTTGCTTTAATGAATATGTAATATGGGGCGTTTCTGCCCTAACGTGCAAAATACTGGGAGGAGAAAATGCAAACAAGTTAAGTTAGTACACGTATTGTGATTTACCAAACCTGGCAAAAATTGCGGTGATTGTGACGGTGTCTGTATTTAACACCTTTGAAAAGAACATGCTAATCCAGGAGACCAGTGTTACACACAACAGATTGCTGTTTTTGAAGTTAGGAGGAGACATAGTCACACAAAAAGAAGGCATAAAGATTGCGTTTTAAATATCATGCATTTATTTTTTTTTATTTGATTCAATATTCTAATCGTTAAGGAAGAGAAACACCATGATTAAACTACAGGCTTGTTGCCACAGCCAACAGCCAAAGAAAACTGAACATCCACAGCCTCTGCATTCAAAAGAATTTCAACATTGACATTTATGTCTTCCTTTTTCCCTCTTTTCGCCAACTCCTCTCCATAATGCGCTCGTCTCCTCCCTCTACAGCCCGCTGCTGCTACTCTGTAGGACGCTTGGATTGGGGCACCTCACCACTGTTTGTACCCCCGTCTTCGGTACCTTTTTCCAGGCTTTCATGTCCAATCAGACACAGCGCTGGCCAGCTGTCTGGTGCGCAACAACGGCCCGAGTATAGAGCGCCCGTGCCACAGAGGACACAGTGCGCACCTCCTGCACAATGTATGACACTTAATTCTTAAGATTAAGGGAAGAAAAGAGAGGCCCTGTTAAATTCTGAGGTTTTCTTATAACCAAAGTTTTCTTTGTAATATTCAGATTTATCTGCTATAACTCGAAAGTATTGTGCGTTTATTTGCTTCTTCCACTAATACCCAGTAGAACACGCAAAAACCTAACTTCAAGGTTTGCACCTGTTGTCATTCACGCAAATTGTCTTAGTAGATCACCCGCAAAACGCCCACCAACCAAACGTGCAAACTTTTGGAGTGAAACCGCAATTTAGTACTCTTTAATTGGGAGTTTAGTAAATCTGCCCCTATGTGCAATGAGCTTAGAGACAACACTCCTAAATCAAGGCAGCTGTGAAAGAAGAAAAGAAAATCCCTCATGCATTCATGCAATCGCACTGCCATTGTGTAACCTCGTGTTACTCATGATGATGTACAGTCATCAAAGTCATTGAAGCTACATTGCAACATGCTCAAAAATATTCACTGTTTTGCAAAACGTTAACTTTTATGAATGTTTACTCAAAGAAAGGTAATGTGTGTGTGTCTTGGCTAGAAGGAGGTTCTAGTGTATTCTTTCCATGTTTTCTGTTTCTGTAAATGGGAGTTGTTTGTTATTTACTATTGAAAAGGTTCTTAAGACTTGAATCTTTGAAATAACAAATGACTGTCCAAAGCTTTGGGTTATTATTCTGTCACATAAATATGCAGAATGTCTTTTTGTGTATTTTGAAGTTTACACAGAGAAAGGTCATCAAATGATACCAAGACTTTTTTAAAGGTTTATTTTCAGACAGGAGAGTGGAGAAAGCCAGAATTGGAGAGAGTGGTGAATGCGGCCCACCCGGAGGACCACAAACCCACACACCAACCACTAGGCCACCGGTGCCCCCTGAGAACATATTTTTCTATCACCCCAAGATCTCGTATGACCTGGTGTCTTAATGATGCTATTTATTATATAAATTGTCAGAATGATTAATGCTTGTTAAAAAAAGAGACTGTTGTGACAGTTTACAGATTAATCTTTTTTTTCCCTGGTCATCTGTTTGTAAAAAAATGAAAGAGAACCCTTTAATACCCGCAAAAATTCCAGCCCACAAATGTAATAAATGGATTTGCAGCTTTCACTGTAACAATCCCACAAACGTTATACATTACCCACAAACACAAGAGCCGTTAAAAACGTCATACAAAATATCCAAATTTAACGTCTGTAACACATGCAGGGATTTGTAATGTTTCTTCATCTTTCAAAAACAGGTATGACTTCCCAATATGGAAATGAAAAATGAACTTTCTGGTCATTGTTTGTATATTCATTTATACACCTACCAATGATTTGAGTTAGCTCATTAGAACATATTACTGGTTTGGGGGGGTCAAAGCAGCGCTCTGAGTGTGTAATAGTCTGTGTTAACAAGTGCACCTTCTACCTTCTCTTCCACAATCTCTCTCTCTCAGATTCACACACATGAAGCTTTATCACATCTTGTTAGTTCACAGACTTGTTTTGTGGCATGTACATACCTTTTTTAATATTACGTGTTTTTTTCTGTTATGAGGATTTGTCTGCAGCAGGTTCTTCTGTGTTTCAGTAGCATCTGTTCAGCATCACACACAGCAGACAGACAGGTCAAGACCCTGACAGGCTGAAAAGTCTCTTTTCTCACACTCTAAAGAACATTCAGCTCAAGTTTGGATAGGTTGGGTCTTTAAAAAAACCTCACTTGATATAGCCTGTTGTTGTTTAGGATCTTGACTGTATTAGATCAAGTGTTGATGTAATTAAACCTCATCATATCACCTCTTCATGCTAACAATCATACTTAATACTTTTTTTGCTAACAATTAAACTTCAATCTTTAGTAAAAAAAAATGTCTGAATGAGTTTCCTGGACCTAAAAGAAAGTGATTAAATAAACTGTAAACCATTTAAATGTAAAATGTCTGCATATCAAACACCTGAATATGTATTTAAAACAGCAAACTGTTAATCTTGACATGAAGTCAACTTAAATTGATGGCAGGGAATGGATATATCCCATTCTTAGTGAAGCATTTAAAGAGGATAAACTATGTCAACAAACTGAAAAAAGACTTTAATAGTGAGAGGGATTCTGTCATAGGACATGTGATGTTATTCCAAATGTGATGTGTAGTGTAGATTTATATTCAGCAATACATTTACCTTGAAGTCCTACCAAAAACTTGGCCATGCATTGCAAGCAGTAAAAAACAGTGTGCAGGGATTTTTGAAGCATTGCCCCCTGAGGGGTCTAAGGCCCCGCTTTGGGAATCACTGGATTATGTTACATTACATAAAACTTTAAATAAAAGTATTAACCCTCACTGTATGTTCTGGCTTCATATTGAATTATAATGTCTAAAAATAGCCTGTCTGATTTTAAGAAACGGATGATGATGATGATGACTTGATGTTTCAGAGAGCAGGGAGAATTTTTTAAACCACTTGTTTTTGGTGATGTTATGTTCTTTGTTTACAGCCAATTGCAAAAATGTCTAATTTAATAACCAATTTTTAAAATCTGAATAAATCTGAATTTTTTTTGAAGTAATGAAATTTAAAGAAAGGTAACATACTCCATTTACTGCTAATGCTTTTATAGTTTAAATATTTTTTCATTGAGGTAGCAATAATAAAACATTCGATATTACAGATATTTTCCTTCTTTTAAATTAAATTAAGAAAAATGAAAAATAACAGTCAAACAAGTCAACAGGTATAGTGAGTAACACTAAATGAACAACGACAGCAACAACAACAAAAAAAAGAAAGGATAAAACAATTCTCAAATACCACCCACCCCCCCCACCCCGCCGGTACTTTACTTCCTGCCACTCCAAAGGAGGCCACTAATGTTAAATCATAATTAGTTTAGTTTGTTTCTTCAATATACTGAAGCAGGGGAACCCAAGTCTTGTTGTATTGCCCTAGTTTATTTGACAGCGAGAGCCGAATTCTCTCCATAGAGTTTTACCATTTCTTCTAACCATACTTTAATAGGTGGAGCCTCTGCTTTTTTCCAAACCATTAAGATGAGTTTTTTAGCTACTATGAGTCCGTAGGATAGCAGTTGCCGCCGACTTTTATTCAACTGGGGAGTCTGATCAGAAACTCCAAACAGCACTAGAAAGGGGTCAGGTTTCAAAATTACATGCAACATCTCTGAAAGAGTATTGAATATACTAGACCAAAACAGAGTTCATTTTGGACAGTCAAAAAAACTATGAAGAAAGTTTACTTCTCTGCTATTGCATCTATCACAGAGTGGGGATACATCTGGAAAAAAATTATGTAACTTTGTTTTAGTGTAATGAAGTCTGTGGACTATCTTGAATTGAATAAAGCGGTGTCTAGAGTTGGCAGAGTGTTTATGCATGTTCTCTAGGGTTAGGGTTAGGTTACATCCAACTCCAGTTCCCAATGAGCTTTTATACCCTGTGTAGACACTGATGTACTGAATAACAGCGAGTTATACAGTAGGGATAACAAATGTCTGTCCCTGCCCCTCATCTGAAAAAAAATATCAAACTTTGCTGATTCAATTTTCTCCAATGTCGGTATATATATTTTAACATAGTTCCTGACCTGCAAGTATCTAAAGAAGTTATTCTTATGGAGACCATATCGAACCTGAAGGTGGTTGAAGGAGGCAAAGCTCCTGTTTTCAAGCAGGTCTCCAACCTTCCTGATGCCCAGACCTTTCCATTGTGTGAAAGCTGAATCCAAAGTAGATGGGATAAAAGGGGGATGACGCAATTATACCGCAATTGGTATACATGTGGATAAAATGAGATTTAATCTGTTTCCAGGTACAGATAATGCTGTGGATCATATTATTGCTATTATATGATGACTTATCTATTTTAATTGGTGATAGGACCAATGCACCAATCTCATAAGGTATACATTCCTCGCGTTCTATTTTAATCCAAGTAGGTTGTATAAAAGTGTGGTCCAGCCACATTATTATGTTACAAAGAGCACAGGCATAATAGTAATGCAAAAAATTGGGAAGGGACAGACTCCCCTCTGATTTTGATTTGCATAGGTGAACTTTACCAATTCTACAAGCCTTATAGTCCCACAGAAATGGAACAATAATGGAGTCAAGTTTTCTAAAAGAAACTTCTTAGGCAGGAAAATCAGAATATTTTGAAATAGAGAATTTGAGGGAGAAAGACCATTTTGACTGCATTAACTCTTCCTACCAGAGGAATTGGGTAATGACCTCCAGAACTGGATATCATTTTGCAATTTAGCCAGAACGGGGAGAAAGTTAGCCTTAAAAAGTGATTGGAAATCCTTAGTGACTTCTATTCCTAAGTATGTGAATTTCTCGGGTGAAACCTTGAAGGGAAAGGCTTGCAATATGGAGAGATCAGCAATTTTTATAGGCATGAGCTCACTTTTGGACCAATTAATTCTATAGCTGGAAGATTTTCCGAAATGAGAGATGGTCTCTACAATGACTGGTATAGTATATTGAGGTTTGGTTACATATAACAAAATATCATCCGCATATAAAGACATTTTGCTCATAGTATCATCTGTCTTGTATCCATGAATACAGGGATTACAACAAATTATTTGAGCAAGAGGTTCGAGGGCTAGAGCAAAAAGTAGTGGAGACAAGGAACAACGTTGCCTTGTGGCTCTGTGCAGTTGAAATGAAGCCTTGTTAGTAAGGACTCTAGCACATGGCTCATCATAGAGAATTTTCAACCACTTTTCAAATTTGTTACCTATGTCATATCTCTTCAGGGTAGCGAAGAGGTAAGGCCATTCCAATTGATCAAAAGCCTTCTCTGCATCGAGAGAAAGGACAACTAAATCATTTGTCTTCCAGCCCTGAGTATAAATGACATTAGGCGTCTTAAATTAAAGAAAGAGTGCCCTAGGTATAAATCCTGTCTGGTCAGGATGAACACGTTTTCCAATGACAGAGCTAAGTCTTTTAGCCAAAATTTTGAAAAAAAATTTTTGGGTCATACGGTAAGAGTGACATCGGTCTATAGCTACTGGCTTCCTCTGGATCTTTCCCTTTTTTATGTACAAGTGTTATGATGGCCTCATTTAGTGTTGGAGGCAATTTACCATCTACATTTGCTTGAGTATACATTTTAAACAAATAGGGAGAGATAAGATCACTAAATTCTTTATAAAATTCACACGGATAGCCGTCAGGACCTGCTGATTTTCCACCTTTAAGAGTTCTAATAGCTTGTTCTATGTCTTAAATAGAAAGATCTGCATTTAAGATGTCTTTGTCTTCCGGATTTAAGGCTGAGAGGTTACAGCTGTCTAGAAATGTTTGTATGATAAAATCGTTCTTTACAGCCTTAGAGGAATACAGGGATTCAGAAAATTGTTTAAATCTGCAATTAATATCCTTTTGGGATAATAATATATCTCCATCTTCTGATTTTTACTTTGCAAATTGTGCAGTCACTTTCCATCTTCCTTAGTTGTCTTGCCAGTAATTTGTTTCACCAAACTCAAAATATTTTTCTTGTGTGAAAATAAATGCCCTGGTAATATGATCTGAAAGCAATTTGTTGTGCCTGTATCTTAAGGATAGAATTTTCTTATGTGTTTCCGTTGATGGTTTTTCAGCGTTTTCTCCAAACCATTAATTTGTTCTTCCAGCCCAGCCTGAAAAGATATAATGCACCCTCTTAAATAAGCTTTTAAAGTTTCCCATAATATCAAAGCTGATGTTTCAGGAAGGTCATTTATTTCTAAGAAGGAAATTTGCTCTTTAATGAATGTTTTAAACTCTGGCTCTTTCAGCAATTGTGGGTCAAGTTTCCACATCCTTTCAGACTGAGCAAAATGATCTAGATTTAAAGACAAGAAGAGAGGGGCATGATCCGAAATCACAATATCATGGTACTTAGCGTTACTGGTATGTGGGAACAATTTAGCATCGACCAAAAAATAGTCAATGCGTGTATATGCATTGTGAACATTAGAATGAAATGAGTAGGCTCTTTGTTGTGGGTTAAGAATCCTCCAAACGTCCAAACGGCTTAATATATTTGTTCTTGTTCAGGTGAGTTTCTTGAAGGAAGATTATTCCTGTATAAACACTGACTGATTATTAGTCAGTGTTTTTAAGTGTGCCAACACCTTACCCCTCTTTACAGGGTGATTTAGGGTAATCAAATTAAGCTGTTTCCCCTTCTTCTCTGGTGTTATATTATCCTGCATATCCTGCAAAACAGAAAAACATAGCAATCCCCATAAATGTGACAGAGATATTTTAACAGTATGTGAACAGTATACAAGTCCTTGGCCTCCAAACAAACTACCCAATGTCTTGCCTATACTAAGGAAACCCTGAAATGTAAGACCCCACCGAGGAAGTTACAAAAGAAACAAAACTAAAAACTGCATAACAAACACACACCAAATAAAAGTTTGGGAACAGAATGGCTCAATATATCATCATTTTAAGACCTGACCCACTTTACCACCTTGTTCCAGCCAGCGGCTGCACCTGTCCCGCTGTCCGTCCCGCTGTCCGTCCTGCTGTCCTCTGCATCATTGTTGCTGCCCGTACCAAAGTGAAATTCAGCAAACTCCTGAGCCTTCTTCGTCTGTAAAAACAGTCTCTTTCAAAGTCACTCTTCATTTCGCTGGGTAGAGCACGGGCTTTTCCCGCAGTAATTCCCTGGCTCTGTTGAAAGCTGCTTCGGGAGTGAATTCAGGGAAGATACGGATCCTCTGTCCGTTGTATTAGAGATCCTTTACGGAGGCTGCTTTCCGGAGAATTGCTGTCACATCACGAAAACAGTGAGTCGGGTATGGCTGCATCCTGGAGCTCTCTCGTCTCGTGTGTCCCGCTCCTCCAAAGTTTACGAACTCACGCATTAATCAATATTTACAGTCTATGATTAATTCAAACATTACCAGAAGATAAGAGTGTAGAAGACGAGGTTTACAAGAAGCCCAAATGAATGTATGAATGAAGAGACGTTCAAATGAGTCACGCAGAGGAGAGTTTTCAACAGCTGACCCGACGCTGCTGATTGAGCTAGGTGTTTATATATAACTCAAAAAGCACATATATGGAATATGAATGGAGAAATTGCTTATTTTTTTATTTAGTCTTGAATGAATAAGTACGACGGAGGATTAGGGCCACCTTACATTTATTTTTATTTTTTTTAATTTCGAGATTAAAGTCGTAAATTTGCGACTTTATTCTTGCAAATTTACGAGTTTAATCTCGAAATTAAAAAAATACCTAATGGCCCTAATCCTCCGTTGTATATAAGCACCTAGTATGTTTGTAATATATCACGTACACTACATATATTTTTATTTCCGGAGCTTTATGTTGAAATTGAGAAGGTCAGGGGGCTCAGCTTCAGGTACACAGAGGAGAGCAGCCAGGATCACCGGGACACCTCTACACGAAGCTCGGTGTGAGCGGTCAACGAGAGGTGCGTCATCCAGAGATAGTACGAGACAAATGTATTTATCTCGGTGCCTTCCTCGGCTCCTTCTTTTAACATTGCAATCCGCACATTTTGCCTTCTAGATCGTCCCTCAACATCCATGCATTTATCAGTTATCTGGTTTACTTCATAATGTTTCACGTGTGATTGTAGCATGCTAATAGGTAGCCGCGCGTCGAGCTGTGGTGTTCACTTGACCACAATGGCCACTTGTCACGTTGTTTGGGAACATCAACATATTAATTTAGTGCTAAAAGTATTATTTTCATGCAGGAGCTACAGGGGAAAACTACTTATGGAACCATGGCTCTCTAGCGCCCCCTGCTGAAGCCTTTTCATTATGCTCTATCTATGGTGACTCCTGTCAGCGGGGCCAAGCAGCACCATAGTTTAATATTAACCCTGACTATTTAATAAAATGTACACATAAAACAACTAATTATAAAAAAATCAAATTTTCCATCAAATGTTTGCTTGAGTGCAGCTGCTCTATTACAATCTCAATACTGATACATTTATTTGTTTTCCATCATGTCCCATTAGCTTCCAACAGAACCAATGTGATGTTATGCAATAGCAACAAACCAAGTGGTTTGCTTTTCTGCATCCGGAATAATGACTCTGTGTAAAGTGTAAAGCAACAACTTATACAATTAAATAAAATACAATATGCTTTATGATGAAAAAAAACCCTGAGTAAATCAAAGTGAGTTTAAAGGTTAAATGCAGAGAAAACAATGTACCACTTTACAGAACTGATAAACAGGGATATCGACATGATGTGCACCCTTCTGAAGGGTCAGTAATGAAGACTGTTTTGGGACAGCCTTGACACAAAAGGTGCGACAATAATAAATATATATACGATATAAGCTCTTTAAGAGACACTCTAGTGAAAACTTGCATAGTAGAGATATTGATAAAGATATTGAGCGTTGGCTTGCACAAGTAAGGAGGAAGGGAATTTTCACTTAAAATGCAGAATCTGCAGTCGTCTTATCCTATCTAGATCTAGCTCATTTCATTTTGATAATGCGCATTACTCCTTGAAGTGAAAATGCAGACGATGAGTAACAATGTACAAAGGGTGTTTTAGAGTTGAAATAAAACACTGCATAAAAGGTGTTTCCTCCCAGCTCACACTGACACAACATTTGAAGCCCTTTGCAACAGATGTTTTGTATAAAAAGTTGTTTTTTCAAGGCAATGGAAGGCTTACTTACGCAATACAGAGCTAAGGTTCTGTTCAAGACTGTCTCAACTTTTTAGTATATCAATAAAAAGTTACTTATTATATCAAACAGCACATTGTGTTACATTTTATTTGGATGAAATTGAATCTGAATATGGCACAGCTCCAGTAAGAATGCTTTCCATTATGATCATGAACTGACGAGGAGGTTTTCATTGGTTTTGTTTTGTAAATGTATAAAACAAAGCCAATACATTAAAATAGAAATTCTTAACAAATAAAAATCACAGGGAAGAATTTTGAACATTTTGTTTTATCGATCACTCAAATGAATTGTCTTATATAATAACATGAGTCGGATTGATATAAAAAAAAAAAAAAAAAACATTCTAAGTCACTGCCCATCTGAATTATGCAACTGCCTTTCTTTCAGCACTATTTAAACATCTGGTCCAAGTTCTCCTTCCTCACTCTGCAGACCTGCAGCTTTACCTTCTTCAGCTCACCCCTCACTCACTCAGCCCTCATCTGTGCAGGAAAAATGGCAACAGCTAGTAAGGTAGGTACATAACTCAATATACTATTTGTAAGTTTGATATTTAATGATGTAATTAGAGTTTAGTTAGCTTATAGTCTGGCATTGTGGGTGATAACACAAAATGTTTTTTCACAAAATTGATCCAAGGTTTATTTGCATTTCCTTTGTTTATGCAACAGTGTTATTTCAGTGCTTAGTGTGAATGGATGTGATGTTCTGTAAGTTTTTAAGTGGTATAAATAAGCATATCAGCAGTCTTAAGTTAAGTGTTTTAACCAAATCGTCTCAATAGATACATGCTTATTTTCCTAAACCAACTGAAAATATGTTTTTTTCAGCAAAAGATGTTTGATTTTAAATAGAAAAAGGACTAGTTCTCCCTCTGTCCTCTTCTGACCTTAAAAGCGTGAAACTGTCCAGACAGTCTTGTGCAACTGCAACTTTTGGCAAAGATCAGGGGCTGGTGGGCCAAAAAAGATACAGAGGACGCCAAGGGATTTATTGTAGTTCCAACATAAAATAGAAAAAAAGACTATAAATACTTAAAGGCACTTCATTTAAGAATAATGACAATAACAGATTTACACAATGGTTAAATATACTTAATTTGCATTAAACTTCACTTAGTTGATAAAATGTTTACATAATACCCAGAGTGGACCTTGAACTGTTTCCTGTTGTTTGATGTAAGTAACATCTGTATCAGATAAATAGAAACCACAGCTCTGAACTGTTACCATGAGGTGAAAATAATAATGTGCATTGAATGTGTGTTATGGCTGCTTTGATGATTACTTTCATGGTGGCATTAAGTTCATTTGATGCCTCTAGCACAAGGAATAACAAATCAACAACATAGTTATTTCCAAGTCAATGCATTTGATCTTGGCTCCCTTACAGCTAACTGGTGTATACCTGTACTAGGTTGAATACATAATGCAGTGGAAGGGTTCATTTCCAGCTTGGTTGCTGCACTTCTCTCTCCTGGTTTGCACTATTTCTTTTCAGCTTTCCCTATCAAATAAATGTGCATATATCACATTTCTTTTTAAGTGCCATGTTTTTTTCAGGTCAATAAAAATCACTTCAAATAAGCATTGAGAAAATTGGCAGAACTTACCCATTCAAAATAACATACCAGTGAATTTGATATTAATACTTTTTAGGTCATCAAATGCAAGGCAGCAGTGGCCTGGGAACCCAACAAGCCTTTGGTGATTGAGGAGATTGAGGTTGCCCCGCCCCAAGCCAACGAGATCCGCATCAAGGTGGGAAGCATCTACTTTTAGACTTGCACATACAGAGGGCCTAAATACACTTAAACAGCAAAGTCTCAGAGGTGTTCAGAAGAGAAATGAAATGGGACACTACCCCGTGGATGAGTTATTGTGAAAAGTTTTTCACAAACAATACTTGTGACCCCAGCAAATACAACTTTGCCGTTAGCCTTGGAAACAATCTGGTTTGCAACCTAAGATAACTATTCAACATGCTATTGTTTGTGTCTTAAGAGAACACTTACATACTCATAAAATATTTGTTCTTGTATTTTCTTTAATGTTTTTTGCACACCTCTATAAACACTTCACAGGATTTTCATTATTGAGGGGAGAACTTTAAGAAGGTTTGCAAAACTATCAGTCGCTAAGGCACCTTTTAAAGACAGCAGAATACTCTACTTCTAATCACCTTTATGATGACAAGTTGTATCTGGATACAGATGGTGGCAACAGGAGTGTGCCACACAGACCTGTATCATCTTTTTGAGGGTATGCATGAGGGTGGCTTTCCTGTAGTCCTTGGCCACGAGGGAGCCGGCATCGTAGAGAGTGTTGGTCCTGGAGTCACCGAATACCAAACAGGTCAGTTAAAGTAAACAGCTTAATTTCTACAACATGTCTGTTTTTTTCCCCTGTAAGACTTTGTTGTAGCAGTTTTTGCTGGTAGTAGACAAAGTTGTGCCACTTCATTTTCTTTTCTTCAAAGTGTGCTAAGAATGACTTTGACTAAGAGGTTTTGTTTTTTGATTCCAGGAGACACTGTTATTCCTTTGTTCCTCTCCCAATGTAAAGAATGCCGCTTCTGTAAGAACCCAAAGTCAAACCACTGTGAGAAAGGATGGTGAGCTAATTTTGTGTTTTTAGTCCCTTAAATGTATTTCTCCAGTGTGTTTCAATCATGTCATGAAGCCATTTGTTGGTACATTTACATTCTATGCATTGTGTCTCTATGTGTATTTTCCTCATATATTTCAGCTGATCAAACTGTAAAAAAATACAAGAATGCATATGGACTTAATGAACTCTTTACTCAGGATTGCTGACCGTCAGGGTGAGATGTCACCAGCAGAGTCCAGGTTTACCTGTAAGGGCAAGAAGCTGCTGCAGTTTGTTGGAACCAGTACCTTCTCCGAGTACACAGTGGTGAACCAGATGGCTGTGGCCAAGATTGATCCAGCTGCCCCTCTGGACAAAGTCTGCCTCCTCGGGTGTGGGATCTGCACAGGTTTTGGTGCAGCAGTTAATGTTGCTCAGGTTTGTATGTTTGACTGTAACCAGCATGTATTGTTGAAGGATAATGCCTGCTGTTATTAATCCTCCCTGTAGTATTCTGAGAGATATGTTATTGAGTAAAGTAAGGGACATTAAGAACTCCATCTTTTAGTACCATGTTGATGTTTGTTTTAGGTTGAACCAGGCTCCACATGTGCTGTGTTTGGCCTTGGAGCTGTGGGTTTGGCTGCAGTCATGGGATGCCACTTTGCAGGAGCCAAGAAAATTATTGCTGTTGACATCAATCCAGAAAAGTTTGAGATGGCCAAAGTGTTCGGTGCTACCGACTTTGTGAACCCAAAGGATCGCAGCAAACCCATCAGCGAAGTGATAGCTGAGATGACCAATGGAGGAGTGGACTTCTCCCTGGAATGTGTTGGGAGTGTAGGAGTCATGGTAGGAAGATTAAGAGTTTTTTTAATCTGACTGAAGAAGAAGGAGGCTGATTGTATTTAAGGGAACTGGGAACGTGAGCCATGTGATGCTAAGCCCACTGACTTCGTGCTGTTTCTCTGTCCAGCGCAGTGCCTTGGAGTCTTGTGTGAAAGGTTGGGGTGTCAGTGTTATAGTGGGCTGGACGGACCTGTGCGACTTCGCTGCACGACCCATTCAGCTGATAGCTGGCCGCACATGGAAGGGCGCCTTGTTTGGAGGTGAGACTCCGTCAGTCAAACTTGATCCAGAATAAGTAATGACAATATTTGACTTTCGTGGCCACATGATTGGTTACCATTTTCAACATTGAACACCTACTGGTCAAAACGTATTCCTCTAAATCAGAATCAGAATCTGGGTTTATTGCCAAGTACATTTACACATACAAGGAATTTGACTTGGTGTATTGGTGCTAAACAATTAACAAGGAAATAAAGCAGAACTAGCAACAACTTAAATAATACAGTATAAGACGATATTACGATATATAAAATGGAACTTAAAAAACACAAAATGTACAAAAGGTGCAATGTAGGAGCTGTGCAGTGTACAGTTTTGTAAAAGATCCACAAAGCAAGAACATCATCAGATTAACATCTGTTAATCGTTCATTATCGACACAACTTTTTCAAATACATTTTTTAACATTTACTTCAATTTCAGCGATGATTAACGAAACCTTTAACACCTTTACATTTCGGTTACTGTTAACGTCTCAAACCCTGCTCTTATATGGTCATAGGAATTGTTGACAACCTGAGCACGAGTATACTGCCTCCTGTACTTTAGAAGGCTTGTTGAATAACAAGATGTCTGCCTTACTGTGAAATGCTGCTTGACCTACATGAAGGTTAAGCAGTTAAACTGTTGTTTACATATTTTCAATACAGACAAATGTGTAATTTTGAGTTTTCTAAATAGTCATGGCCAATTAAGAACTCCAATTTATTGTTTTGTGATGCTACTGGTTATCGTTAATGTTGACTTTAGATAATTATAAACATAAACAGATTAACTGCTATTGAAGTTAACAATTTTGTAAATGGATAAATAGTTAACTAAATGGAACTGTGCCCACTTCTGGTTATTTTTCAAGCAACCGCTGCAAAGTGGTCGTTGTCAAAGTGACATACCAAAAGTTCCTCTCAATAGCTTTAATAGATGTTGGGTAACCAAAGGGCAGACCCCAGAAGAGTAAGTGTCAAATGTTTGAGCTGGGAACTTGATCAGCACTTATATTAGGTGAAGATTGAGTGGCATTAACTGTTAAAAAAAAAAAAAAAAAAAAAAAAAGTCAAAATCACAACAAACTGCTCAGAATAATTTCTCAATCAATCATTATTTGTATAGCACCAGTTCATAACAAGTGTTATCTTGAGATGCTTTACAGAAGAGCATATGGGATATTATTGAAGAAGAACTTGATTTGAATGATGTCATTCCATGTGTGTTATTGTGTGACTCAGGATTTAAAAGCAGGGATGGTGTGCCTCAGATGGTTCAATCCTACATGGACAAGAAGGTGAAGCTGGATGAATTCATCACTCACAACATGCCTTTGGCTCAAGTCAACGATGCAATCGAACTGATGAAGAATGGCAAATGGTACATTTACATTCTATATGTTTATATCATTGAAGACCTACAAACTGAGCTATACAAAGATAAACATTAAAAGTCTTCTAATTTCTCCTCTGTTTCTGTTTCCACAGCATTCGGACAGTCCTGAGTATTTCTCCACAATAACAACATTGTTCATTCATTCTAATGACGCTGGAACCATTTAATGACCTGCAGCAATGTTTCATCACAATGCACATGCAACACAACATGAGATATGGTAAATGACACAAAAAATGTCTGACTTTGTACAGTCAACACTATGCAACAAATTTTACAGAGCATGTGATGTTGGGAACATCTGCTGATATTTTATGAATATATGAGCAGATGGGATTCATTGCTTCCTGGTTTGGGTGATCTTTCTGTCGTGATATGCTTAAGTGTCTATAAAACTGTCATGTGTTCACATCGGCTTGGTTATAAACATGTTTGCTCAGCTTGTCATGCAGTAAAGAGATTTTTTTTTTTTAAATACACACAACTCAAATTTAACCTTTTTTTTGTTGTTGTAAAAGCGTACAAATGTGTTTGTCCTGTGCTAAAAAGACTTATTCTTTTTCATATTATCGGGTCATGAAGTTCATGAAGATTTGTGTTAATTTGACATCACAGTTTTAGCTATATCCTTAGATGTAAAGACCTTATTTAATTACATAAGCAATACGTTTAGCATTAGACAGAACAGATGGTCACTCAGCCTGCTACACACACACACAGACCTTCAATCAATCAATTAATCTTTGTTTGTATAGCACCAATGCATAACAAATGTTATCTCAATACAGTTATCTTTAAAAAGAGCAGGACTACACCTTACTCTTTGATTTTTAGAGAGAAAGAGACTGATGGTGACAAACAGCAGCAACAACAACAATAAATAAGATAGATTAATAATGGTAACAGTATGTCTAGTATTAGCAGTAACAGCTAATTATGATCACAGACTGATCAGGCTATATTGTTGATGTAATGGAGAGGACTGATTATGTTGATTATAGGTCTAAGATGAACTTTAATATTTATCATAATTAGAATAGATGTACGGCTGATATAAATAGTTGTAGCAGGTGGAGTCTGAGGGGTCCACAGCAGTAGGCAGATTCAGAGAAACCTACGAGACAAGAGACCTCAAGAGCTCCCATTTAATTTTCATTTAATTTATTTAATTAGGACGGTGCACATTAATCAACATATCAACACAATAGTATCCATGTAAATATGCCGGAATCAGCAGAAAAGCTAAATTTAATCTATAGTCCTAAGGCAGGTACTAACAAAAAACACATAAAACAAATGTACAATTACAGGACAGTTTGAACCGAACGACACACACAAAAAGCTCACAGACAATTTTACAAACAAATTAGACACTGTCGTTGGATAAGAAATAACAGACTCACATGTAATTAGCAAATTAAAATCGCAGGATGAGCCAGAAGTCCCGGGGAACGGGCACCAAAAGGGGAGGACAGACATATGAAGATATGTGGTTCGTAAGTTAAATGGTACATGAAGAACTGTAGATAGTTGACATGCAGTAATGTGATGTGAATGCATACAGATAGATAGTGAGAGAGAGAGACCTAACTACAAGCTGGGACAAACCTGTGCCAGCCCTAGCTATAAGCTTGATCAAAAAGGAAAGTTTTACTACTCATAAAAGTACAGAGATTGTCAACCTCCCTGACCCAAAGGAGGGTCCTGATAAATGAAGCTTCACCTCAGTACATTTAGAGACTGTAGGAACAGGAACAGGCCTTCATTCTGGGAGCGTAATTTTAATTTAGGGGTATAAATACTGCACCATGAGCTCTTTGTACTTTGAACAACAACTGTGTTAATCAGCTACAGCATTTAACATTCAGCTACTATAAAAACTTTATCTATGGTCTCTTGACCTAGTGGATTTACAGTCCAAAACTTTTTTGTCCACTGTCATTGGCATGGATATCCGGTTCCTTTATTTCAAGTTTTTTGTGGCTGAAACTTAAACATACAAAGCTTTTATTTTGAAGTTGCAGATTTCATTCTCCTTGTTTCCTGCTCCAAAAATTAAAAAAACAGTAAATTTTGTGTGCCGGTGTTTACAAAATATTTATAAATATAAGAATCATTTTGTTTGACAAAGCTTAACCTAAACCCCCTGAACTTAACAAAATAAAAGAGTCTTTTGAGAGAGAATTTTGTTGGATGCTTAACACAGAATCCTTTATCAGCAACAAAGAAATGCAGGGAAGTCTGAATGGTAATGGGCTTGAATAGGCTTTATATCACATGTATGGCAGTTGGGAGCTGTGGATAGGACTCATGAGGTGTATCCTGGATTCCATGCTGTTGTCCATGCAAACTTGGCCCAGTAGAGCTATACCATGGAGAAAATTCAGGATTCTTAACTGGGAAGTGCCCCGGGAGCAACTCTTCCCCATTTGCCATGAAAGTCACTTTTCATGTCTTTAAAATTGTAGCGTAATTAATTTATTAAGATATTATATCTTTATTTGACCTCGGCGCACCACCTTACAAAGTAAGGAAATGAATATTACCTGTAGTAATTAATTAATCAGTCAGTTTCATATCTTGAAAGAAATAAGTTCTAGAAATGTTAAACCAGAAAACACACAGACAAAGTTCTGAATTTTATGTGTAACATTTTATATAGAAATGGTAAACAGTGAGGTATAGATGAAACAGATAAAGAATATGATTCTTATGATCGGGATAATGCAATTATAACGTATGGTGACAGTATATATTTAGTAATGAGATAAGACGCGGTATTGTTTGAATGACTTAATCTGAAAATGGTCAAAAAGGAAAAAGTTTATAAACGAATTTTGGGATTCTATTTGGATTTAAAGGAGCTCTGAATAGAAACAACTCACGACCACTGCGGAACAAACACTCTTACTGTGAGATGTGTTCCATTGAACTCCGCCGGCTGGTCCCCCGTTTCAGTCTCCAAAAGTGGTTCTTTTAGACCCAGAGAGGTCCACGGGTCAGATTAGATGCCGCAGCAGCTGGGTCAGAGTATGCAACTGGGATGGAGGTGGAATGGCAATTCAGCCGTCGTAGTTGTGTCGTCATCAGCTCCAAGTGGATCCAGAGCCATTTTGGTGCCCTCGGCAAAAATTCAGCAGTTGCCCCTTATATTGGAGCCAGTTTGACCACCAAAGACAATATTCATCAACTTAAAGAAAACTGGCCTACAGCTTTATATTTAACAGAATGTCTTTATTTAAAAAATAAAAAATACTTATAGACAAACATTTATAAAATGGTAATAACACTAATATTTCTTATAAGTAAATATAAAATAAAATGAATAAAAATAACTAGTGTAACAGAACAAACAATACCAAACAGTGCAGAGAGCAGAAGTGGTCACAGGCGGCCCAGGGACAGCAGGGGATGGATTTAAATGTTTCTGATTGAATCTGGAGAGAGAAGATGAGCATTTGTGAAACAATCTGCATTTTATAATATAGTGTTTTATTTAAATATTATATTCTCTTCTGAGCAGTACAGAAAAGTCAACTCAGTAGTTTTCCTTTCAACCAGACCTACAGCATGCACACATATCTATTCAGAGAGGACTTCAACCAGACCTACAGCATGCACACATATCTATTCAGAGAGGACTTCAACCAGACCTACAGCATGCACACATATCTATACAGAGAGGACTTCAACCAGACCTACAGCATGCACACATATCTATTCAGAGAGGACTTCAACCAGACCTACAGCATGCACACATATCTATTCAGAGAGGACTTCAACCAGACCTACAGCATGCACACATATCTATTCAGAGAGGACTTCAACCAGACCTACAGCATGCACACATATCTATACAGAGAGGACTTCAACCAGACCTACAGCATGCACACATATCTATTCAGAGAGGACTTCAACCAGACCTACAGCATGCACACATATCTATTCAGAGAGGACTTCAACCAGACCTACAGCATGCACACATATCTATACAGAGAGGACTTCAACCAGACCTACAGCATGCACACATATCTATTCAGAGAGGACTTCAACCAGACCTACAGCATGCACACATATCTATTCCTGTGATGCGCCGGGCCAAGCAGGAGGCAAGAAAATAAAGCTTTTTTAAATGTGATAGTTGTGTTTTCATGGCTTCTTTTGGATCATAACTAAATAAAAGCATGAAAATGATATTAGATAAATAATATTTAGTGATATTTAAACACGTTTCCTTCTATTTCTTCTTATCTTCAACTTTTCTGGCGCCTCTTGCATTTGCCTATACTGATATGCCACGGGCCGGCCCTGAGTGGATCCAACAGGAAAAATATAAGAGTCTTTTGATAGGTCGATTTCCAACTCAAATTAACCTGATGGCCATCTCGATGAATCCAAATTAAGAAATTGGCTTTCAAAATTTAAGAGGAAAGACTTTGGAGAAGAAAGTTCAAAAGCCTTGTTTGAGCAAAAATAATTGATGTTTCAAAAAGGTGTGTTGAAAATAAAAGTTCAGCAGAGATTCGTCTCTCTACGGCGCAAACTTCAAAGTCTTAAGGTGATTCGAACTAAAGTCTGAAGAGAAGCGAGCAAGAAGCAAGAACCTGAAGCTCTAAAACTGGAGATCTGAGCTGAGTCTGAACTTTTATCAGCTGCAAGAGAGGGGGCAGCCCAAGGGTTACTCCCACTCTGACCAGAAGACAAAGAATCTAAACATATATACGTCACTGTACATTCATTTCGATATTATTTCTATCAGATCCACGTTGATGTAGGTTCACGTCATATATTTAGACAAACATTTGTATCAGATTCATGTTGAGATGAAAATCACACCACCTGGGAACATCCACAATTAATCCCAGCCTGTAGGTGAACAGAAACATGTTATACTGTCAGCATTCTTAATAAGACATATGAATAAAGTAGGAAAAGAAATTGGTGTCTTTAAATAACACCTTCTATAGCTAATATCAAAGAGTATGCTTTATAACACGTCTAAATGTATAATTATGAAGGTTACGTATTCATGGATATTCTAACACTACATGGCAATAGCGCTCCACGTCAAATTCCTTTTAAACTATATTAACTCTTATTGGTATTCTGAACATCAGATTTTGAGTTTAAAAAGATGATTATAATACATTCAATGTGACAATTACAAATATCTAGATGAAGAAAGACATAAATGTTCATTTGATGCAGAATTGAACGCTGTGGTTTAATCAGTTCTTCAGCAGTCCTTCAACAGATGGTCAATTTTTACGCCTTTGCAGAGACTGGTTTCGGTCACAGTTCATCAGAGGTGTCAAAAATATTCACATTCATTACTCAGGTAGAAGTATAGATACTAGGGTTTAAAAAGACTTCTGTAGAAGTTGAAGTATCAACTTAAGCTTTTTACTCAAGTAAAAGTGTAAAAGTACTGGTTTCAAAACTACTTAAGAGTATAAAAGTAAAAGTAATGTAAGGGGAA